CGTGTATACTATTTTTAACATGGCCACACCGGGTTTATCTGCCCCCGCTTTATGTCGGCCTTATCTCGAGCAGTGCATTAGTCTTCGATAATGCGAAGATAAGCCAGATCGGTTGGCGCCACGCTCGATCCCGATTACGCTCGGACGATATAAGAGAAAAAGGATCGATCCCCCCCTCTCCCGCGATAGGGCTGTCACGGCACGCCGTCGCTGTTAGTGTCTTAATTGTGGATTCCCATGTTATGTACATCCCGCGATAAAATTCCTCCGGGCGGCCCTAATTGTCTCGAATATTCGGTTTTGTCGGACCATCGATTACGGAACGATTCCGTGCGCTCATTGTAGATGCACATATGTGTTTATGTTTTTGAAAAACGTATGTACAGGATTTGAGAAATGTCTTTGTCTCTGCTACAATCATATGTTCTTTATTTCTTATTCAATATTAGAAGGAAATCTTTTGTCTATGGTAGAACTAACATCTTAAGGTATTTACTACTTATCGTCACAAGTTTTTTCTAATAAGCTAATCTTTACAATCCATTATTACTAAGTTTACCATCGACTGTCCAAATTCCGATGAAATATTCTGTATAGATACCTCGAACTGAGATAACTCTGAATTCGAAGTCCTTCGTAAGCAATTATAACAGTGAACGGATAGATATTAGGGTCTCCGCGAGGTAAAACTACAAAATAAGTTAATGTATTCTTATCTATTGAACATTAACTCGCCTACGTTACTACACTACTAAGGAATCTTTAATGTTTTTATCTATATTTATTATGTTCATACCTAATTCTACCTAACATAACAGCGATCCATCGATTCATTTGAATACTCGCGTTATTCCACTTTAAATCTACGTACAGACTGGTGGTCTAGTGGCTTAAACGACTCATATTTTTGGGTCTTGCGTTCCGAATTGGCGTTTACTGCTCTTATGAATTTAATAAAACCATATACTGTTCATAGTCTTTGGATAAAACGTGATGAGAATATAAAGGTTCTGATAGTTTTTAGTCAATTTTATAAAAGTTACTGCTGTTTTAAAGGCTACCTGTTAATAGGGTTATGCGTGGATATTATCATTAAGAATTTAGTATTTTCCTATAAAAACATTAATTACAAGCATTGAATAAAGAATTTGCTAATTGATATTCACCTCTCTCTCATTTCTATTTTGTGCTCTTGTCTAAGGCCCATTGCTGAATCAAGAAATATGATAGTCATCAAATATTACGTGTAATTACAATGACGATTTCGACAAAGGTGATGTAATGGTTGGTGGACTGTTGATGTAAGGATATGCGTTCAAAACCTATATTCAGAATTACCTTATAACTTCTCACATTTCATCATACATCATTTCAGGCTGTTTGAGTCCACTGCTGAACACGGGGTTCCCCACAGACCGTCACATATGGCAACCTTATATATACGAGAACTTATTAATGCATGGACCTAGGCTCAGGATGGTAAAATTAAAACGCACCACCACTGCAAGACAACACTCAATCAGTTGTTTACGTATATCAGACATAAACTTAAAAAAAATATAAACTGACGGCATTCGGGGTAATAATGATACTCAGGCGTATCATTGTGAACAGATTAAGTGACGGATTAAATGTCTTAAGTCTTCCGATCACTATGAATGCAACCGAAATCGGTATTTAATAACACTTAATAAGTACACAGTAACCTATCGACGAAACGTTATCGTTTAATTGAAAAAAAAAAAAACTGAATTATACATTTTCAATGACGGAACACGTGGTCCAGTTTCGATTAGCAGACATATCTCGATCACAAATGCTTTCAGCGCGATCGGTGAAACGTTGCAACTCCTCGAGTGCCCGTCAACATATGTATTTGAGCATATCAATGGCGCGCATTCTCACACGATACATACATTGATTTGTGTGTATTCGCGATAATGTGTCATTTACGATGAAAATTGCGTTAGGCCGGAGCGCGTCGAGTAATTCACCGGCGATGGATTGATTCGCTTGTATTTAACGCGCCCTCGTTAAAAGCAAAGCTGGCGAGGCGCTCATTACGCGTTGAAAGGCGCGGGAATTTTCGCCTATTCGGCGGGAAATAGTGTGATAGCGGGCCTAATGACGTAGCGGTGGGCGCCATTTTGACCGATGCCATTTTGTTTTTGACGTTTTGTTTGGCGCGTCACGTTATTAGCTTCGAAGGGACGAAGCGTGGGCACGGCCTAAGTTTTTGCCCGTCCGTTTAGCAAAAACCGGCCGTTTAGCGGGCCCGATTAACTTGTGTACACACTAGCCCATTATCGTTATGTCGCACGGTTATGTTTGACACCATACCCTTAATGAAGGCCGTAACAGCACAGCGTTTTCTTTGATCCGAATTTTGATAGTGCCCTTTTCGGTTTAATGTTTGTCAATTTGTTAATGGACACTTTTCTATAATGCTGCTGATGACTACGTGCTTAATCAGATAATGCGTGCTCGGAAGCTGTGAATGTATGTAATGTCGTCAACACAGACCTTTGGAATATGGCTGGTTTTATATGTATACGGGTGTTTCAAATCAAGGCGGCGGTTATCAATTAACATTAGGTGAACCGCCAGCTCGCTTGTCAGCTTCGCACATGAAAATAAACTATATTTTTTTTTTCTGAAATAGAAAAAAACCGTAAAAATATTTTACAGCTCCATGTCTTAGAACATAGGTTTTTCAACCGTAGGTTTTAAGACATGTGGCATGAGGCGGAAAATATTAAAATCACTATATTGATAAAAATAGGTAGGTATATCATAATTCAAATTTAGAATTTAAAAACTATGAAAACTTTTTGAACCGAAACTATTTTTATAGATCATAGATCAAAGATAAAGTAACTGCAAAGTCTCGAAGTATGGATGCCCGGTCGAAAACAGAAACCTGTGTCTTGTATTAACTGATGTTTTTGCTTTCAGTCCCGAGACTATTAAAGCTTCATCTGACGCAGAACCGATGGGCTAGCCAGAACCCACAGGTTTGGGCCCTCCGCTGTGGGTAGGGCCACGCATGTGCTCATGCCGAAAACAGAAAGCTTCGGCGTTTGCGGGACGCGGTGAGATTAAAAAATAAAAATATAAAGCCGCGTTCGCACGGAGCGTCCCAAGCGGCGCGGCGGTCGACCGCGCGGCGCTCCGAGCCCCGAGAGCGAGCGATCCGGATCCAGCTATCGGCATCTCAGTTTGTTCTCACATCATTACCCGCGCCGACGGCTACAAATTTACATCCAACACAATGGCTATCCGCCATCGAGGCATCATTAAGGTGATTCCGATAGCGCCGGCGCCTGGCCCGCCGCGAACGCCCTAACTCTATCCGCTTGCTTTCTTTTATGACGTTATGCCTGTTGCGAATTAAACCTAATGCTGGGGCCGCAAGGGTCAAATTTCATTACCGCTCAATGGCTTATAAGTACGGAATACTTCGCAACTGTGTTGACATAACGTCATAAAAGAAAGCAAGCGGTGCCGTGACGTTAAACTGAGAGGTGATGGGCTTAAGGTTGAGTTTGCATTGTCTTGACTCCAGTTGGCCGCGAAGTTTTTGAATGGATCAGTCTAAAGCAAAGCTTCAGGCTATCGCGCCACAATGGAACTTATAATAGAGGCGATTGTGGAGAATTGGTAAGAAAAAGGTCATTTGGGGTAATATTTTCATGGACTCATAAAATAACTTGATAATAAGCGTTTAGACTTCAGTTTAATTAAATAACCACATTTGGTGTGTTTGTATCTTGTAAATTAAATTAACTATATTCTGCTCCCTTAACTTTTTATACTATATCTGATATCTTTAAGAAGCGCCTAAAATGTTTAAATTCGGCAGGTCATAATTACTCAAAATAAAACAGAAAAATAACTTGGGAAATGCGTCGTATTAATTATATAAATTGCATTTTCTAAAAATGACAGCTTTCTTTTAATTTACCGTTTAATATTGCTTCCACGAATTTGAGACTTATGCGCGAGACTATGAGATGGTGATTATATTTATGCTATAATTGCTTGTTTTTTATGTTAATACAACTCAAGCATCTCTTGCATAGGTCACAAAAGCTGCAGTCAAATTATGCACCGATTGGTAGCCTCCACTATAAAAGGGACCTCATCAGAGGGTGCAATTTATTAAGCGCGGGCGGGCACAAAAGCCGCGCTGCCTCTGGTTTCGGCCGCTTTGCATACAATACGCGGATCGTTACGCGCCGCTTGACGCGCGTACGGGACGCGGTGACGCGCGTTTATCGTTGCATCTGCTCAGGCGGCCTAATTTGCTCGGTGCTTTATTCATCACGTGTTTTTACTATTGACTATACTCATTGTCATATGCTGTGCGTCAGTATTATTTTTAATAATTTTTATTTTAAATTAAATTTTAGTAAAAATAAATAAATTAGATGTACTGTCCCGATAGTTTTTATTTAACTTAAAATAATCATAAACATAACAAGATTCTATAATTATTGATATATAGACCCTTACTATGTAAAACCCTGTATTTATTATAATGATAATAAATAAAATAATAATCTATTCATTAATTCACTTATTTATTTAAAAAACTCAAAAACTACGTGATTGAAACCCATATTTTTGAAAGGCCATCAAAAATGTCATTTGCCACAAAAAAAAAACCTTTAAGCGCACCATTTGTAAATATCACAGCCAAGTATTGATGTAATTTTTAATTCGATATCACGCGAGCGATGCGAAGCGCCGATAGAAACTAATCCGCGACGTGTTAATTAACCGCCAATCAAAATAGCGCCCGCGTCAACGCAACACCATCGAGGGCAGCGACGCGACGCACGCAAAACAATGAGCGTGTTATTAAAACAATTGGAACGATTATCGCGCGATCGCAACGTATCGATATCGCAACGGAATGGCGGCGCATGATGAAATCCGCGCCGGGAACAATCCGGCAAATCGAACGATAAGTGAGAACATGGCAGCCGAGATCCGCGATGCCCCCGATCGCATCTGCGAACAATGGCGGCCGTATCCGCGCTCTCATTAGCCAGCCCCGTCGAGATACGCGCGCCGCGGCCGCGGAATTGCGCAATTCCGCGGGAATCGAACGCGAAGATCCGCGCGATCCGATATCGATCCGCCCGCCTCTGTGCGTAATTGACCGTTCGGCTTACTCCCCTTCTTGCGTTGTATGTCTACGATTTGTTACCGTGTTTTTTTATACCATAGACACAATATGTGTAATAGTAAAAGAAGTTTGAATTTACGCGGTATCGTGTTTGAAATTGTTTAGGGAAGGTTTACATGCGGTGTTACATTAACGTTTTATTTAGATTTGCCATAGATGAAGCGTGTTTTCTAAGTAGAAGTTTCGTGAATTGATTAAATACCATCATTTGGACGACATGTCAATAGGAATGCAAAGGAAATTTCATTTGCTGTAATTTATTGTAATGTCTCACGTTTTCTAAGATTATACAGAGGATAAAATATTTTACATTAAGAGACATTCATACTTAAACTTGTGCTTAAACCATGACTCAATCGATGTCTACTTACGAATTCGCGTCAACATACTTAAAAAGTCATTTTGTTACATAATATTCGTTAATTACTTGGACCGAACCTTAGAGACTAGAGGGATGAGTCAATAAACAGTGTATAATTGCGTGTAAACCACGCTTATCTCGCGCACAACAGATACGCGGTTTTCCTCGATATCGACGATGGTACTGCTAGTACATCACCAATAAAGCTTAGCGCAGGTTAACAAATCGTCCACAAATCTCCAACGGCAACTGGGCTCCTGCATAAATAACTTAGCGCGCGCCCAAGACGGACTGCCTTATAAATCTGCTAGTGTGGAGCGACGCCGCAAACTTTACCCGGCGTCGCGGTGATCTTTTCTAACATAGTAATAAAGCTGCAAATTGCGCAATTGAAACGTAAGTGCAGGTGGCACGACAAGATCTAGAAACCGCGACGATATTTCGCGCGGCAATTAGGTGCGCGTCGATTTCGGATTAATGGCGTAACGATATCTAACGCCTAAACGCCGCCATCTTTTATTATTGACTTGTCTCCCTTTGAACCATGTTAGGGTTGTGAAACTTAAATATTTTATCGTAGGGGTGTGTGTAACAGTCTATAACTTTATGGTGACAATTGGTTTGGCACCAAGCGAGTTGGCTATTCACATATGGCATGTGTAACCTCGACTCATAGATATCTATAATACCTGTGGGGTAGCACTCTGCTAATATTTAAAATGTCCGATTCCGACAAATCATTCACCAAATGAGTCGCACAAGTAAAAAAAAACTTCGCAACTGCTCTATTTTGTATATTCGTGTGTGACTGTTCTAAACATCTGGTAAGCAATACCCCAGTCACCATTACTATACCATGGAAGAACCACCGGACAGGTCCCATCGCGAGCCTTGTCACCCTCGCGGGGAGAGTCCGGCGACGGCCACCGCCATGGTCACCGCCGATCCCCGAATCCCGATTGTATTGTGGCACGCATCGACATATATTTCGGCCGTCGGACATATGAACGCGTGTGTACTTGTGTGTCTACGGCGGCGTCACTTTGTGGCGGGATTAATGGCGTATTCATGGGCCGGGAGGAATGGACCGACGTCGTTACCGATGCAGACGACCCTCGGCCAACAATGAGCGCCCGCGAAATATTACCTTTTAATAGCGTCTAGGCTGTGCCGGCGCGGCGGGGACTTACCTGGAAAATGCGGGAGGACATTAGCGTTGGAGTTTTGCGGAGCGGAATGCGTTCACGAACTGGCCGCGTAATGGCAAAGTGCACATAGTAAGCACCAACAGCCGGTATGAATATTGCGACAAAGCGTTTCGACGTGAAGCGATGGGCGTCAGTAGAAAATGTGGTTCAGAGACATTTTATTCGTATGCATATAGAGGTACACTTAATGTAAATAAAATGTAATGTACGCTTTTCGCATTTCATCATTCACAGTGCTTGTTCTGCAAGCATAAAATGCTTTATCAAGATCGTCTTTTTTACCTTTAATTCAGTAGCATGGTTCTACTCGTTTAAAAAAATAGAAGTCTGTAAGTTTCATCAAATAAAACTCACTAGTTGTAGACGAACATTAATTTTTAAGCGCTATACAATGGCCTTTGTTCCATATTTTTTTCAAAGTTTATCCCTTAATAGGCGAAGGGTATCAAAATAAACATTTGAACTTTATATTTTCAGCAGAGGGTGACAAGTATGCAGTTTTTTTTAAATATGGAACAACGCTCAGCGTTGTCGTCACCCGATGGCACCGTGCCTACAGTATAATGTAAGCAGTGTTTATTAAGGGCCGTCCTTGACGATTCACAATATGACCAAATAATTAAACGAAAAGCAGAGGCTCCGTCAAACAGACGTTATTGGTTAGCATGGTAATACCGTGAAGGTGGTCGCTTTGCAGCCGACTTCTTATGTCGCTTTTTGACTGTCTATGTGTGCCAAACGCGCTGAGAGGAGCATTTAAAAAATTCCAAACCCAAATACGATGATAAATTTTGTAAAACTAAGCGTCGAACGTTCAGAAACCACGCTAAAAGCAAGATAAGTTTCGTGAGGAGCTTCGGTACGCACCGAACATAAATGAGATTTTCGTAAAAATGACAGCTTTACACGCCCTTCGGCAGCCGGCCAAGCGGCAAACGCCAGGGAAGCTAACAGCCAGTTTACTTTTTATCGTACCAATTTATATCGGGGCGTCGGTGCGGTACAAGTGTCTTGAACACTGAAATATAAGGCTAAAGCTAAGAGGAACGCCAGCAACTGCTTTCAAAGTCAAAATATCTTTATTCATATAGGCTTAACTTAAGCTCTTATCGAACGTCAAAAAAATCCTCCACCGGCAAGAAACTCTGCGGTCTTGTTCTCTTTTTTGCTATTTTTTTTTGCGATGACTTTGCTGACTAACAATGAGAACAATAAGATAAGCTTGCTTAATTCGTATCTTTTTTATGTGAGAAGGTGGCAAGGGAGCTGGCGGTTCACCTGATGTTAAGTGATAACCGCCGGCCATTGACATTTGCAACACCCCTAGGGTTGCAGATGCGTTGCCGCCCTTAAATAAAGTGGGCTCCGGCTACATCACTCACCAGACGAAACGTAGAAGTATACGGTTCTTGAAATACAGCCTGGTGACAGAAGATACAGTCTGTTAGCCACTGGGTAGGGAACGCTAAATAAGGGGCAAAGAATGAGAAGGGATAAAAAATAGCAAAAAGAACAGATAAATAAGCATTATTATGGCGACTATTTTTTGTGGTGAACAAGACGCTACATATACATGGAAAATGGAACATTGAAATGACAAATTGCTATTCCATTGTAATCTTAGGCGTAATCTAAAAATCGTCATCGTCATACATAAGTCAAGAATACAGTCGCGTGACGCGGAAGCGAAACTTGCAGCGCTTTCAACATGAGGAACACATTTGAATCCCTTCCCATATACCATGTCGAACTATTTATGGGCCAAAATTAGTTTAATTCGTTCGTAACAATACCTACCTCAGAGCAGCGAATGTTTGACAAAACATTAAATAAAAATAATGTAAATTTCAATCCGTTATGTCCTCTAAAAATAATCAAAATGTTAAAAAATTTGGTGTTGAAAACTGTTTATAAATGAGGTGTTAAAAGTGAACTAAATAGTTTTCTTCTTTACGAACGCTACCTCTCTATTTAAAGACAACCATCACTTAAGGTATAAACTATAATAGGTGTTACGTACACATATATAAATATTTTTATGTGTGTTTTATATTTATATGCAATTAATTATGTATCTTACATTTATTTTTCTTCATAATAACATTTTGTAATATTTGGCATTCCTTGCTGCGCCTACGATAAGCTATCTCTGCATGTTGGTTGAACTGGTAGAGGCATTAATTACATTTGGCATTAATACCATTCCACCTGAAGGCGACAGTGTAAGCGAAGGTATTGCAAAACGCGCTTATTAAAAAAAGTATTTAATATATTCTATAAATATTGCCGCAGAAGAGAATCTGTCGCCAAGAACGAACACGTCAATCCCGACGAATGACTGGCGATATTGAACCGTGAAACGAATTCAAACTGTGGCGCTAAAAAGTGACATTCCGGCGCATCGTGTCACCGCTAGCGTGACACGGGCTGTCACGTTATCCGTGTTATCGGGCCATCGGCGCGTCACGCGACGCGTGGCCGTGCGTGTAGCGTGTTTACGCACCGCTCGGCTGTCGCGGCTCTTTTTAATAAATGACCCCGTAGACAATGATATGATGCGTGGGCGGTATGTGCGTGCCCCAAGTGGAATAAAGTAATTATCTATTGCGTTAAAAGGCAAAAGGTATATAGGTCACTCCAATTTTAGCAGTTAGGTAATCTTTTTACGGCAATCTTGCCGAATCTTCAACGGTAGATGTAAATGATTGGGTTATTTTTCGTGTAACGAGTGACCATTTGGTTTGTAAACTATCAATGATTCAAATAGCATTTGCAATTGAAAACTGATGGCCTTAATATTATTTACCGCGTAACGCGCTAACGCATATAGAAACACATTGTATTAATATTTACTAATACCATTTAAACAGTTTTTAATTATTTTTTTTCATAAACTACTTTGTTTATTTGGAGATAAAAAGATATGTACCAATATCACCACGGCGTTGACGCTTGCTTCCTGTTACTAAATTGGTTAACTGGTTGTATATTTTGACTTTTATAAACTTGTAATAATTAATTATATTCCGCAAATAAGTTTCGATCTTGGTTCGCTTCCGATAACTGTTTTTGTTTCGGCTCTCTTTCTCTTTTCACTCTGCTCTATTCTACAAACACGTCCACACAACGAGCACTCCATCGCCATTCTCCAATCTATTGTCGTATTACGTTCATACAGCACCTTTACTGAGGTGAATTAAGATGGCGTTCAGGTTGCGCTCCATAAATCTGCACTATCAGTCCATGAGCGATCGCAATCTGCAGCTTACCCACCCCCCTCCAGTAGCCCCCTCTCCCCCGCTGCAACTGCAGGGTCCGTTTCCCCGGCGTGACGCGCGATGTCGTTAACCGATAGTCCTTTGGTGTGGTCGAAACAAATTACGCTTCCAGCCAGGGAAAGTTCAGAAACAGTGGCTCTTTGTATCTAGAATCTATGTCTATGGTCTAGTTTAGTGAACCAGTGGTAGTTTTTGACGTTCAATACATGTTTAAAATAAGCCTATGTTGAATGAAGAAATTTTGACTTTGACGTCGACTTTATGTACTGTGTACTAGTACACTAACTATGCAGGGTTGTGAAAACAGATAGAATAATTAACACCCTAACATTACCAAGGTAGGCTGTCGAGTTTATTGCAAATTTTACTCTGTTTCCTACTGGTTTAGCCTACTGACTATCTTCAAATGTGACGTTTAACAGTAATTTAAAGTAACAAGTATGTCCCATGGCTGTTTAAAGGTCTCTTCAGTACAAAGGGCCTTAAAACAAAGCAATTTGCGCGCCTCCCATTGCATGTAGTATGCGATCGAAATTAGCATTCTACTGTAATGGACGGTAATAGGTCTGGCCAATGCCAGCTGGTTTGATGTGGCACCAGCACTTTCAGCTGTGGCCCAAATGGACAAGCTCGTCTGGGATGTGCCACGATCTCACAGAATAATGGCGTAAAGTTCACGTACACATACTTTCGCATTTAATGATCGAGGTAAGGGATTGATGCTTCTATTGAATTTTAGCAACAGTAGTAATGGATGTCTACGGATGGAAGTAATGGATGTCTACGGACGTCGGTAATTTTTTAATGTGAGGTGTCAAGCGAGCTGGCGGTCCACCTGATGCTTAGGGAATACCGTCCCCCATGGACATTGCAACGCCCGTAGGGTTGCAGATGCGTTGCCACCTCATAATAAAGTGGGCCCGGCTAACTCACTCTCCAGGCGAAACGCAAATGTATAAAACTTACACTTTACGTCGGTGTACTGTGAAGTCGCGTACTCCGACGGACCTGCCCATTTGTGCAATGGAGAAGGCATGCGTGGCACCACCACATTCAAAATAAGTAGTATCATAAATAAAAACCAAACAAAAGTGATGTTTACGGTGACGTCTTCGGAACCTGTCATAAACCGATCGGTGTAGTATTCGTTGAGCAAAGGGATATAATGGGAGGCTTTTAAGCCGTGGCAATATCTCGGCGCCATCCTGGTGCATCAGCCTATGATCAGGAGAAGGGACGTGGAATCACTCAAACAGATAAAGGGACAGACAGACGGCGCTATCGTTAATGTGCGCCGGCTAATCGATTCGCAGGCCCCGATTATCGGTTGGGTAAATATAAAACTGAGAGCGCTCTTATCGGTTTAGAGGGGGCGCGGGTCCGTTGCGCGGTCCGGGACGGCATACGTTCTTTCCTGTCAGGTATTCGATGAAATTGACAGCCAACAAAATATTTTCAATGTGTTCCGTGGAGTAATATAATTAACGAAAATAAATAGGCCAGCAAATGTAACTAGGTTTATTTAAAACTGCAGTTTGCGTCATTCCACAGATGGAGCTTTCCGTTTAGCCTTAATGATTTGCGTGAGAGTAGTAAACTGCATATATTATAACAAAATAGTACCCTCTAAGCACCTTTATCGAGCTACAAATAAGTTTACAGTATCGCAACAAAGTATCACAACATTACTTTTTCTTTTCGTGGGACCGTGAGTGATTTAGGGCTGCGTGATTCCAGAGGACAATGGAAACGCGGTCTACACCGCGTGCTCCTCGCGAGCAAATCACTTTATTCGTCCCCCGTATCTCTCATATCGCCCGGGCAATTTATTGCCTAATTACCGGACCTTATTGTTCTCGATTTATTACATATATGAGCGGCCGGTGCGCCATTTTCATTGGGCGTGATAAGGTTAACGCTAATGGGGCGGGCTATTGGTCCTGAGTGACGTCACTGGCGGTGTTGAACGCCGATTAATATGACGTTCGCCTGGTCGCGAATTAACGACAGTTTCGCGATATCGGTAGGCAGTAGACTGTGTTATTGTCTAACGGCTTCTAGCATGCAGATATGTTATACGAACATTTATCAGACCCCCCTAGTTTCCTCGAGACGCCTTTATTGACAGGGAGTTGCCAACTTGGAGTCATTTCCGCCTTTCATATTAGCAAATTTAGTAGAGCTATTGCTCGAGTAATAGTTCTACTCCTGAAGGAAGTGGATTGTTGAAAAATAGCTTTAAATTGGCAATTTCTGCTTTTCTCCTACGCCTGAGAACTGCCAGATCTATTTTGAAATGCTGCGATAAAGATGTTTTATTTAAGTTAATGATGATTTATTTAAGTATGACCCTACCCATGCAACAGTCACTATTGGACAAGTCCGTCCGGTGAAGCCTCCTTTCCTCCGTCTTTGTATTTAAATCCAACAAAAGAGGACATTATATTCAGTAAATTCAATATGAATGTTTTCCAAAAGCATGTGTAACAAAATGACACAGATGTGGCTTTAAAATTTTTTCTAGCCTGATAAATCGAACTAACATAACGTTGCTACGCCCAGAGCTCAACATTAGCTAGCAATGAAACTAAGTTTACAGATCGCGTTTATTTTCAGTTTTAATTCCGGACACTTCGAGACCTTTACAGCTCATGATCACGTCCGTCGAACTCTACAATTCTGCGGGCATAAATCGCTAAAAATAGTATCATTTAGTAATGTGTAATCACGTAACAAGAAATAATTATGAACACAACTGAAACCCAAAACTCTACAGAACTCTATACGTCCGTCGAACTCTACAATTCTGCGTAAACTCCGAACTCTACATCTCTACGGAAACAGAGCTCTGCCGGCGATGCGACAGCCCCGCGTGCCCGCTCTCTCTATTAACGGAGTGTACACGATACGAGACCGCCATGTTTACCTCCTAGCCGCGCGTTTAAGTCAAAAGGCGCGTTATCTCGGCGCTGCATCCATCAGGGCGCCGGCGGCGGCGTTATCGGCGCCCCGCACGCCTCCGCCGGGCGCGTTTTATTTCGCACTGTGCAAACGCCCGGCTACAGCGGCCGGGGTTAAGTCAATTCGGCCCGCCGGTTATTGTTTGCCGCGCGCGGGGCGGAAAGTTTCCCGCGGAAGGCGACGCTTTGCGGCGTCGGGTGCGCTTTTTTCGCGATCGGTCGACGTGGTCGCGGCACGGTACGGAGGTTTTGCCTTTTGGGTAGCGAATAAATCGTGACATATCAGAAAATGACACACTGACAGATCAAGTTGATGCGGTAATCAAGTTTTTGGATGATTGTACAGAAATGTTTCGATGTCATCTACAGTTTACTCATCCGCTTCTTGCTTGTGAATTAATCAGTGGTCGTTCTTATATATCTATAGATACAGATCATATTTTTTATGTGAGAAATTGGCAATCGAGCTGGCGGTTCACCTGCTGCAATACTTTGCTCACTATAATCGCTTCCCATGGACGTTTGCAACACCTGTGGAGATGCAAATGCGTTGCCACCTTTTAATAACGTGGGTCCCGGCTAATTCACTCACCAGACGAAACGCAGAAGTGTAACACTTCCACTTCACGCTGATATTCTATGAGGTCGTGGTACAACCACGGATGGACCTGCCCATCGTGCAACAGAGAAGATTTATTGTAAAATCATACGGCACGAAAATATAAAAAAAAATAAGTTTTTTTTCTCTCTCTTATACTCTATTTTAAAAGGGTAATAAATATTACTATCAAACACCGTTTTTGGAAAACTATCATATTGAGTTTACCGATTATAGCGTCATTGTCTTGTACTTAATTACACAGAAGGCTGTTTCTCTATTAAAGTGCAGTTACGTGCGTGAATGTGGCGCGTTTTCGGACTTAAAGCAGAAAGTATTTGTGCATATTTGAATTGTCTTTTAAAGCATACATTAATTGCAACTGCAGCACTGTGGATGTCCGCAGGCGTCAGCGATCACTTGCAATGAGGCGAACTTCCTGTCCGCTCGCAACCTTTTCCCATAAACAAAAAACGCGTCTGTTGCACTATTCGCGTCAGCTAAGGCATGTGTTGAATGGAGGGCGTGCTGCGCCGCGATACCGTCCGCCCCCTCGTGCGAGTCCAAGATAAAACTGCGAGCCCTCCCCTCCCGCTCCGCGCCCCCCACGACCCCCTGCTTCGACGATTGACTTGCAGCGATTGTTTTAGTCTGCCAATACGTGATTTGCAACTACTATGCGGGAACGGAAGGCAAACGCGGAATAGGCCTGTTTTGTTTTGACCACCGTCATATAGACATTTTAGTGAGTTGCTAAGCGACTCTACATTAGTTGGAACTGGACATGTTCTATGAGTTAACCAACTTAATCGGTTTGTGATGTACAGGGCAGTCTGTCTGAATTCTGCGTCTTTGACGACACCATTTTTTTAGTATTTGATTGAACGAAGTTCCGTAATCCCGACGATGGATCTAAGAGCGGAAGTGTAATTGTTGCTTTTAGTACGATTCCGCTATCCAACAGAATCAGCCGCTGATACAAGTGAGTTATTACCGTCCGGCTAACGCGCCCCAGCCCGCCTCATAGAGGCCTGACGCAAGCGTCCGATAAGTCCACACGCGGGCAATTTAAATCATACACCAATTTTCTTTAGCGACTCGCCAATCTCTGAAAGCACTCCGTCTTATCTCCGGGGCGGTAATCTCGGATGCTTTAAGGCCGTCCTCACACGTGCGGATATAGCACAGACCGGTGTGAGTGTTTTAAGTGGTAGGACGATGCTCTGTGATGTTTGGTGGAGTCGTTGAGGCGCGGTTGCTAATAGCTCGGCGAATAGCTGCTTATATATAATCTAGGTAAGTATATATGGTCTTATATATAAGCAGCTATTCGCCGAGCGCGAGTTAATTATTCAGAGCTGAGTCTTGATAGCTCATTGTCCGGTAGCTCGCCTTTAATGCCATATACTCGAGCAACCTGAGTTCGGTCCCCGGTGCCGGCACCAATGAAATTGTTGATTTTGAGTGCTGAATTATCACGTGCTCAGCGGTAAAGGAAAACATCGTGAGGAAAACATACGTATATTTTCAAAATAATAAGAAAATAAACATTTCGAAGATATGTGATGTCCGTCAATACGCAGTGGGGCTGCGTGGTGGACTATACCCTGATACCCTCTGTACAGAGGAGGCCTATGTCCAGCAGTGGGACATATAAAGGGTGTTATTTTCCTTTTTTAGCGCTTTTTATTTCGAGACACATTTTTATTACCAACTAACAGAGATCCACGAACGTCTGCGTTGCTTGTAGGCAATGTATTTTATGCACAGAAGAAAAGTCACTGAACACGAACTGCTTATGAAAATCGTTATTTGATAAAACTTTAATAACTTAATACTAAATGAAGATATCAAAATATCTTTTTTTTTTTATTTGATAAGGGCCAAGTGTCTAAGAAATAAAACTGAAAATTATTCATTAAAATTCAGCCAGTAGTTTTTTCCGTGATTCGTTCACAAGAGCAGACATCTATCATTTGATTTATATATACTGCTTGTTGTTTTGAACTGTCGTTGCCTTATAGCAGGAATAGACTTCACCGTCTATTCCTCATTCCGCATTAGACAATTAAGACTGTCCCAGACTAACACCCGGATTCTGAAACACTGATCATCGTAGAAATTAACTAATTAACTGTCAAATGGCTTCTCAAATGTCATTTGAGTTGTCAAAAGGATGGTTAAATAAGTAAAAGTTGATCAGAACGATAAGAAAGATCAATTCACAGAGAAACCGGGCATATGTCTTATAAATTGCTTTGACAGAATTTTGAGCCGCAGTTAATTAATGAAAATATTCAGTGATACAATTACACATCGGTATTTATTTAATAAAGACGTGATTTGTTTAATTATTTTCGTTCATATTGATATTAGATATGAATAAATTACAGCCAGGGCCTTTTACGGTGACATTTGTGAGATAAACCTGTTCAAGTGTTTCGTTATTTAGTTCATGCATTTCTTAATGCTATGTCTGAAACTTACTTGTGTCAATTAAATAAAACATTCTTCCGATAGTCGGACCTTGTGGTCCATGAATTACATGTTTTTTGAATTATTGATGGTAATAAAGATATTTTTTGCCATTCCAATTATAAAATATTTTTATTACCGTCGAATAATATATCGAATTTGTTTTAATTGTTTTTTGGTTGAACTAAATTCGTATGGATTTAAATTTCAATGTTTATGGGAAGGAACTAGAGTACTAGTAGCTTTTTTTTGGTAAAATTAAACGTTCAATGTGTTCAATAAAGTGCAATGAAGTGTATATATTATTGTGTTGTTAACGTCCAGCCGTTGCATTTTAAACTCAAGCGAGTGAAAAAGGTTACTGGATGCGATTTGTAAAATTTCGCGCGAGACTCGCCGGCCGGTCGACGTGTGTAACCGCCTTAACGGCATAATGGCAAAGTGATTCATTTGTCGCGCGACTATCCGAATGTTTTAAGCTTATCCGCAGATAGCGTCGGATGGAGACGAAATGAATGTCCCCTCGCGCAACTATCTTGCGCGATAGCAGATAGTGCATTAGGCGGCGCGAGGTCGGCGTGGGAGTGATTCTTGTAATTAATACTGAAATTTATTGCCCGATACGCTATCGACGGCCCCGGCCAATATGACCGATACCGCGTTGTTCCACTGGCGGCGCGGTTGCGCCCCGCGCTGTGGCGGTGGCCTACGAAGCAGACGGGTGCACAGATTGTACGCAGGGACTTTATAGCCGCCATTTTAGTATATATACACTGTACCAATCGCCGTATAAGTATATATACACGCAACAAAATCACAAACAAACGCTCGCATATGCGAACGTTGTGTGTTTCTATCGCGTGCATCAATCGTGCTGGTGATAAGTGTGCCAGTCCGTGGTAACCGTGCAAGCTCAGTAGCAGCCCATGAATCACATGATACGGACGGTAATATTGTCTCAACGAATCGCCTGGACCGAGTTTGGTTTGAAAAGTGCTGCTTCTATTTTGTATACCACCTTTGATACTTTTGTCTTTTTCTTTTTTTTTTTATTGTCTTTGGATTTGGTATCGTGCATGCGTAAAAAGGCTTATGTTTTTTATATATGTCATCAGCCTGCTGCTCAATTTCCACCAAGGTCGAAACCCTTGCCGATCGACCCTGTCTGACGTCATAAACATCTAGATCTGGATCCAATTATCTGTGAGTCACAAAAATATTCCCGTGAAGGGATCGATACCGCGACCCCTGATGACGAAGCGAGTAGCTTCATCAACTGCGCCGCCGAGAGATTTCTTTATGTAATTAGATAAAATTAAATTATTTTACCGATTTTGTCGCGTTTAAAGTTATTTTTAATGCAAAGAAGTAACGCCTTTTCTAGCATTTACAGTCTTATATTTACTTTAAAGACCGTAGTGTTTGACAATCTTATGTCATAGTCAAAGCGAGCTGTCGTTGCGTTTCAGAATATTAATTTTGATTCGACTTTTGTTATTTACGAAGTATCTACCTCGATCGACTCCTTAAGAAGCTATCATTCACACAATTTAAAAAAAAACACCTTTAATCGCCTTGATCAGAAGGACGAAGCCTGTTAGAAGCATAATAGTCACACTATATAAAATTGTCACTTGAGGACACTAAGTAGTGTTTTGTCAAATACTGTTACGTCTTGCCACTATTACACAATACTATACAATAATCATATAAACGACCTCAATTTTACCGCTTGTCGCAACGTCGACGACCTTGACATATGCTATAAAAGGACATCAAGCCACCGAAAAGAATAGAATATAATATTGTGATGGTAATTAAATAAACAAGTAAATAAATTTAAACATTTTTACACAACGTTCTCTAGCCCCAAACTAATCAACGCTTGTTCTATGGGTACTAGATAACTGATAAACATACTTTTCTTTTGTAAATAAATACGCATTATACATATGACGGCGCTTCAGTGTGAATTATAATTTTTAATATGGCAACTAATGACAGCTAGCAGTCATTGGCATAACTCAGTGCGCTGGCGGGTTATTTATACGTTGAGAAGCGGTAGTCGCGCCGTGTTCTGTGGAACGCCGTATTAGTTCCTTCATACTGTTTTATCATTATATCATCGTTTTATCATCGTGTTTTCTCATTTTAGACATTTCCATGTTTACTTTTTCTAAAAAAAAAAAACATTGTTTACTCATAAACTGCTCAATTATTATTGTATATATATATTCTACCTATAAAATGTAAATCCTTTTTTGGCTGTAAGTTAAGAATATCTGATATACATGTAAACAACTAAAGGCTGTGGATTTTGTTGCTCAATAAAATAAAATAAAATTATCATTTAGTTGGGTAAATCGTGGTTAAAGAAATTTGAAAGTGATTGTTAATAAATTTGATAATCAACTTAAGTGATCATAATGTTATAATTTAATTGAGTGTAAAATTGCAGATTAACTGTGTAATAATGGAATAAATCATTGTTAAAAATGTGCTCTGTAATTATAGCTTCTCGTCCGTTAATCCACGCTTACATTATATATAAAGTGAGGATCGAACGCACGCCCTCTTGCTCAGAGGCAGGCCCTAACCACTACGCCAATCGGGTCGACAATTGTTTCTTCCTCTTAACATGCGCCGTTCTTAATTCGCGGTTGGAATGTACATTCGCGTAATTGCAATATCTTAGGCGGGGCGATACGGAGTCGTCTTGGTAGCAGCGCGGCCGCAACCCGCCGGCGTTATCGCACGTGCGGGGCATAATGCGACGTTAGAGCAACATTCAGACGACATTCGCGCGACATTAGACGCGCAAACTAACATAACAGTTTAATTACAAGCGAATCTAAAGCGTATTAGTTGCAATGGCAGTTGTCGAGGAGCCTAAGCTGGAAGCGGAAGCGATTTCTTGCCCCGCCCCGTCAATGCGTTTCAATAAGTTTCCTTTTTTTATACTTCAAACTTATGTATCAAGAACGACACGAATTTTTACACTCGGAATTGTAACACAAAAAAAGCAAAATATTTTAAACACTTCAATATTATGTTTCAAAATTTATATTCTTTTTATCACAATAAAAACCCTCTATTCAGAGGAGGCCTATGCCCAACAGGGGGACGTGAATAGGCTAATACTTTACTTTTTTATTTTTATATAGGTGTAATTATACGGTAATTATCGACATAAAATGGCACATATACGATTGTATATAAACCATTTTATGTCGATACCCCAACACTACGTGTTGTTAAAGCACCTTAATCGCCGTCCTCTTATGAATTGGGATGTACCATCGAGAATAAGTTTTGGCGGTTGCCTGTATTGGATCTTGCGAAGTTCGGCGTATCGTGTGTCGGATCGCTGCAATGTCTTTGTGCAGTTCGCACAACGTTCGGCCGTGTACCCAAGTTGTATTAGGTGAGGACAATGACTGTGTACAGCGAATTTACATGTGGGTATCGATTTTAAGTAGTAACAATCAATAAAAAAAATTAAAAGCCTAGATTTGCATAGGTACGAAAATAGCAACATTTGCAATAAAAACTTGTAGCCGCAGAGCCATTAATTGGGATAAATTATTATTAAATTGAGTAAATTGTCAAGTGAGGTTTGTAAAATAAGTTTTGATACTGAACTTTTTGTCATTAATGTCTTACAGAACAAAATCGTTTCAAAATTACTATTTCACAGGGATGAACTAAGCTTTGCTTCTGAAGTTAGATCAGGATCAACTAAGGTGAGGCTGGCACACTCACTGCACCAGATATGCTGTACATACAAACACTTTGGATGTCTCCGGTTAGCTCACTCACCGGACGATTTGCCAAAGTATTAAGAATTACCGGTACTCTGAGATCGTGGTACTTCACTAGTTCAGTTATCTCGTTTCTGCAGAAGGATCGTTTCAGGCCTTGAGCCTATTTTTGTGGTACGCAACAGCTTTGACCAGCGTGAAGTAGAAGTGTATCACTTAATATCAGGTGAACTCGTTTGCCTCTTTGTCACATAAAAAAGCAGGTAACATGCTGCAACATGAATGTCTGATCGCGTAGTGTTAATATCTGATCGTTATATTATATTGCTGTTCTAAATAGAAGCAATTTAAATCCTCTCATCTTCAGAATGGTTTGCATAGTCTTTGTAGATGTTAAACATACAACTCTAGGTGAGACCCGACGTCGTCTCGAATGCAGCCGTATTATACTCGCAGTGTATCGGGTGTGCTCAACGTTTCGCCCGAACTGCGGAGTCGGTATCTAGGCGGTATATATCACGGCGCTATCGCACAGTGGCCGGCGCGGAGCAAAACTTCGGGTGCTCCACTGCGGGGCGATACGCGCGACCTCTGGAATTTTAAAGTTAAACAACGCCCCCGCCGAAAACTCGCGCGGTTGCCGTTGTAAAGATAGGAGACTCGATAAAGAACTCCAGAGTGAGCAATGCAATCTGCAAGATTGTCGAGAATATAATGAAAGATTTAGGTAGTGTCGCGGACTCGCTTTTTAGCTCTAACGCGGTGAAAAATATAGTTAATTAAGTTACCGAGCTTATTTAGGTTACGTCAAAGGTTCTCGGCCTGTCGTTACGTCACCTTGTATTAAGTAATTAAGAATATATATTAATTTTAAAAACTCGAAAGCAAACTTTATCGGTGAGGGAACCTTGTGAGAAAGAGTTAATGTGCAATATGCGTTATGCTGTACAATCTGCAGACAAAAGAGAAAGAAATTAAAAGTCGACGTGATTTGTTTAGTGATTATTCATTAAATTATTGCTTACTAAATGAAAAGAAATCGATTCTAAGTATCTTAAAGAGCAAATGTTATGTTGTACAAATATTGAATCAAGGATTTTGGAATTGAAAATTCAGATGGTAAATCTTTCGACTGTTCTAGTGAACATTTATTAAGTAGCTAAAAATAACAGAAACTCACCCGAGACCTTTGTGCCCGACCCAGTTTTGCACGGAGCGTGAATGACTGGCTTTGAAGCGCCAAATGAGGGGAATCCGAGTCCAAGACGGCATGGCCTCTGGCACTAGGTCAGAGTAGAGCGCGGCTTGCACAGATACAATTTCAATTAACACGGACATTGGGACTAACTGGGTAAAATATATTCCAGGTGTACGGTTTCTGAGCTGTCTTGTGCATTTAATTTTCCAGGTATAAGGTTTGTACAGTCTAATTAGATATTTTACGGATTTTATTGCGCTTCTATTTGATTTTAAATTCCCGACGTACCTTTCCAGCGTTCATGGTCACGGGAGAGACGGATCATTGTCAAAAATAGTTTCATATAAAACGTATAGTATTCGCGGAAAACAAGATATTAATAGTCTAATTAGTATAATACGGATACTTTGTCAACATAATTTCGTATTGTTTTGTTATTTTATTCTGTGAGAAGGTGGCAAAATAGCAGGTTGTTTACGTGATGTAAAGTGATTATCGCTGCCTGCGGCCATCTGCAGCACCTGTAGCGTAGCAAATGCGTAGCTAGTAGTTTAAATATGGGTTCCGGCTCCTTTATTCGCAAAACTTAACAACTCCACTTTATCACTCTGTACGGGCCTACCCATTAATGAGTTATTAGACAAACGGCGAAACATTTTTGTTCCCGATTCATATTGTTCAGTCGAGTAACGACTCAAGGCAAATAAATCTTGTACCAGTACTGTCACGGTGATGTATCATTTTTGAATTTTGTGAGTCATCTGTGAGGTTAAACAAGTTTCTAGACGGTGCCTTGTATACTGCTCTAAGTGTCGTTACAGTCGTATTATGTCTCTCACAAGATCTTAAAACCACCCTAAATTTAATAAAACTACCTCGTCTTTGCCTAACCAAGCTCAAGATCGTCTATTGGCAATAGAAGCCCAGATTTTAATCTACGTAGTTAAACTCACATTGTTCATACTTTACTGTACAGTTTTTGGCCGTTAACACCATTTAAAGTGATTTGTTGCGGCAATTCGTTTGATGTTCTCGCTTTGGTCCGACGCGGGGTTTTCTTGTTAAAATGTATGGCAATAAAGCAGTAACCACGTTGTGTATTAGCTGTGAAGGCTAGGGTCAGGCTAGGGTCTGTTTTATGATTCATCCGCATACCAAACGTGAAAGTTCAGTTTTGAATGCAATGCGCGATCTATTGCAGTGCTATTGCAATCAATGTTCAATGCTATTGACATATTAGTTGGTGCAAGCTTTTTCCCGCTAAATACCTTTTTATGACGATAAGTGCGTTATAATACATGCACTAGTACTTTTACGGTGGTAGGGTCACGCAGCCTCGGCTGTTGCACGAATGGGCAGGCCCGTCCGGGTAAGTACCACGACCTCACAGAAGACCAGCGTAAAGTGGAAGTATGACAAATACTTTCGTGTTTCGTCTGGTGAGTGAGGTGGCCGGAGCCCAATTTTCAAAAGGTTGTCAACGCATCTGTAATCCTAGGGTATAGCAGATGTCCATGGGCGGCGGTATTCTCTTAACATCTGGTGACCCGTCTGCTCGTTTGGCAACTTTTCGCATAAAAAAAAAACTAGATTCAGCAATAGTGGAAAAGATAATTAAAGTACATAGTAAAATCAACGCCAATCATGGCTAATACAAAATCAATTATATTTAACTATAACAGCGATAAAATATGTTGTATTATAACCTTATTTTTATTTTTGTTTATTTTCTTAGTTTATTTATTTTTCTGGGAAACATACAGTATATTACCACTTATTTTTGTCTTCATTTCACACTGTCAAGTTTTTTCTCTCTTATCCACTTTATAATTGGGCACATGTGGTGTGAACACGAAGTAAGTGATGAGGAACGGGCAAGCGGTTCACTGATGGTAAAGTAAGTTATAACCACCCATGTAACGCAAAAACTGTGATAGTTTAGTGTCCAGGAGCTCATTTTTAATTAATTATAAGCGAATTGCTTCAGAGGAGGCCTTTCGGTAGCTTCTTCTCAGGTAAGTGGCTTTTCTGTTCTGAACCGGTAGTAGTATTATGGAAAATATAATAAGTAAGAAAGGAAAAATAAGTGTAATGCTCTACATTGAATTTGAATGCGTTGACAGAAGTTGATGTAACTTGTTGTTGATTCACCATCGCTACCCTACGCAGTATAAAAACCTAATATTAACTTTTATGACAGAGGGCGGCTGTTAAAATTAATTTCGGCCCTTTTTAAATTCGCACACGGATCTCCACGCGAGTCGAGGTTGTCAGCGGCGCGTTTCTAATGAGACACCGGAAAAAACCCGACACGGCACACACTCGGATCGGGTTGACCGGTTTCGGGTGAGGCGGTGGACCCTTTGGAGGCCCGATAGCGATCGCCGGAAACATATCGGCCCGCGTCGGTGTAAATAAGTGCGGAAGCGCCGGGGCGGGCGGGACGTTAGCCGCGGCGGCTTTCCGCCCGCCCAGCGCCGCCGATAGCGCCAGCCGCCCTCGGCGACCGTTAGCGGTTGTAACGACGCCGTTAGAGAAGGCCCACTTCCCATCCGCCCTCGCGCGGGCGAAGTCCGCCTCTCGGAGGTGGGCTCGTAAATCTCCAGACGACGATACCATTCGGATAGAGTTCGGGTAGTCGATACAAGTAAATGTAGAGCCGTTAGGAGATAAGTCACGGCAGTGTAGCATATTGTAATGCGGTGTCCACAAATTTTATGGTAAGTAAGATGTTAAATTTGTTTAGAGACCAAATGTAAGCTGAATTTGAAACAGCGATTAATGAAAAACTTACTGATCAGAAGGTTAGAAATGTCTTTTTATTTGAGTCGTAGAGCGACGGGCAGAAGTGTGAGAAAACTACGCAGCGAGCGCTGATAAAACGGCCGGTATCTTCGGCCATTAGAGAGCGCAGCACCTGACTCGATATATATTCAATTAGAGGCGCCGTTGGGAGGGCGGCGATGCTATCGCTGGGGCGGGCGGCGCTCGCGCCTTTCACTCCGCGCTAACTTCGACCCGACGTGTGGGAAGGCTCTTTTGATACTTTTTAACGGACCCCCGAGTGCCTTCGCCCTTATTGTAGCCAAGATGCCCCCAATTATTATTTTCGCAAACACAAAAGCAACGTAAAAATATCTTTTGAAATGTTTTGAAAATATCTAAATACCTTATAGCAAGTACATATCATCATGGACGCAGAACTACATTGTCATTGAATAGAGTTAACGGGTATTTTGAACTAATACTATATTATATAACATGATTCACGATAACGATTACAAAGACTTTTTATGTGTAAGCTACTTGTGGTATTTTTTAGGTGTAAGATGTGAAAATGTACCTTCAACATTTCAATTGATTTACTGGCAGTGGCATTTTATATTAAAAAAAGAAAAACAAAACAAACAAGCCAACCGAGGTATTCTCAATTTAAAAACACTACTGCCTTAACCGTGAACAGCGTAATACTGGTTGCACACGCACGCGAGCGCAAAAAGCCAAGAGATGCCCAACGGCAGTTCAAGTGACGTGTCAGCGGGAACAGCGCTTTATCGGGCGCGGCAAAAAGCGCAACAGCGCTGCCGGCCGTGACGTGTGGCGTCGGCCGGGCAAATGTCATTACGGACCACTAAATAAATCGTTAGCGCCGCGTGAGCCGCCGCCCAGATACGGCACGTAGCGGCGCGGAGGTAGCGACGCTGGATGCGGCAGAAGGCGGCCGGTCGAACGATCAACGTTACGTGCGTTCGAATTTCGAAAAAATTTCGAATCGTAAAAAGTATGTATTCGAAACATTTTTCTCATCGAAGTATTTTTTGTGTTAATTTTCGCGGGCGCGAATTTAGCATAAACGAAAAAAAAAACGAATCCGACAATTTAAGTCATTAAGCTGTATATTCCCCAGCCTATTATTTTTACCAATAATTACGGCTGCAAACTAAGCCGACATCTGCCAATTTACTAGCATTTTTCCTATGGTTTAAATCAAAGGTTAATGAAAGTATTTTGTATGCCACAACTGTATGGGAAACTTCTAATATGTACATATTATATATACGACTTATGACGACAGAAGTTTACATAGACAGTCGCTACACAAATAAACGACCCGATGCAGTTCAAATTTAACATTCGATGGGGCCTTATTGATGGCCAAATTGCTTGAGCTTAATATTCTAGTTTTTAAAATAAGAACCTTGCAGGTAATAAGTTTTATTTAAAGATGAACGGAAAATGAAAATATTGTACCTATTATAGACACGGTGAAAAGGCATAATAACAGATATTTTTTTCTATTAGAAGAATTTATTTCTTATGGAGTTCTAAAATGACAAATAATTCTTGTTTCTTAATTTTTTTTAAACTTTTTTAATTAATTATTGGGTTGTGCTTGTATATAAAAGAATATTGTAATAAATAGAAATACAATAATTTCCTAAAACTAAGTAATTCTACTTTCCAAGGAGTGTCCAACGTCTAGTAATCGTCTAGGTTCCCCATTATGATCGCTAAGGAGGATATCTCATTGTTCCAGAGAATTCTTGTCGCGTTTATGACGCTGTTATGCTTACGGTCCAAGCTATCTAGAATATTACAGTTTGTGTAAGGACATCTAGCGGTTTCAGCGCTTTTTCAATAAGATCGGCGGGCGGTTACAGCATTATCGCCACTTACGCTGCACCCCTTATCTCATAACTGCGTCTGTTGTCTCGCTCAATGCGCCCTGGGGGCTGCGATTGTCTTGGAACGCTCGCCCCTCCATTGCATGAGAAAGTCCGACTTTTCAATCTAGCACTACGAGAATGTTAAATGTGTTTGCTTAATTCGATGTAGCACAATTAAATAGACAATGGCGTTTTGTTTTTAAAGCCCGAATCGGAAGACGCGTGTGTGGCACCCGTGCTCTCAGATTTATAAACAAACGCTATCTTTTTAGATGCCACGAGGTAGAGTAGGAAGGAATCCATTGTCGGGGGAATCCACTGAACAATACAGTAAGAAAACGCGCGAGGAGATTTGCACGTGCTTAGTTTAATGTCGATATTATCGTGCATTCAGAACTCTCGGGGCTTTGCGGAGGCGTTCCAGCCTTTGGCTAATAAACAATGCGCCGCTATCGCTGCCAATTGATAAAATAACTTATTCTATCGCGCATACAGTTCTGATTTAATTGCGCACTGTCTCCGCGATGTGCCTTTCTGCGGTGGGTAAGCGGTCACGAGGAGCGCTGGTGCGATTGAGTTTGTGCTTTGGGTGGATAGAGTTAGAGCTTTTATTGCCACAGCGGGTGGTATCTGGTGTAGCAGTAACTGATAGTATTGTTTCAGGATTAAGATGTAAGCTAAGATTCTCGCTACAATAAGCATTGATGATTGCGCTATCCCAGATCGAGTTTTTAGTCTATGCTCAATGCTGCTAAAATTGATCCCTTCGAAATACGAAACGGGATATCCGTTAATTCAAAGCACTTTATTAGTTTTATGCTATATTATACGGTTCGGTTTGGCCCGCCAGTTTAAAGATTAACAATACCTTTGTGTTGACAATGGATTAACCCTTTCATGTTCTTAAAGCCTTAAATTCAGCGTGTAAACGTATCAAATTCTCTACCAGAGTAAGTGACATAAGGCATTTGTTCATAACATCAACTGAAGACAGCGAGGGCTTACTGTCAACTGGTGATGATCATTTAAAGTGAAATAGACAACGTCGTTTTACGCAAATTATACACAGAACCAACAATGTCATAAATAGCACGAAGCGCAGAAGTACTTCAATGTAATATAATTTCCCGTGCAGTGTTACAACTGTTATAAAACATTTTTACGGTGCGTTCTGTTATCGGAGTAGTTTACTTTAAAAAATTACAAAGTAATTAAAAAACGTAGAGTAAGTACTTCATGTTTAGAATCCGTTCCTTATTTGAAGTTTAAAAAAAATAAAGGCACAAAATGATAAAGTCGCCAGTGTAAGGAGCGGGGGAAATTTTAAAGGAGCGCCGCTGCCCGCTTTTATGACACAGAGCCCGTTTAAATCACACGTATCGGTGTAAAACTGAGAGGCTGTGCCGTGCGATACTGGCCGCACGCGATAACGACGGCTAGGGCGACCGTGATACCAGACGAGTTCGGACAGACTGGGAAAGTCTCAAATAGTGACTAAATTAGAGATGAAAAAGGAATTCTTGGAAACCTAGTCTAGAGTAGTTACTAGTGTATCCTAGATTTCCAATACTTCCCGCAGACTGTACAGACGTCTTATTACGCGTCAATTTTTAGTGGGTCGGACAAACGAGTATTGACTTGTGTCGAGAGAAATAATAAAATAATTCACATGACAAGATCAACGTAGTGTAAATTTAAGGTGAGAATAATCACCATTTTAATAGTTTGGATGTGACAAGGTCCTGAAAAATAGCATTCTAGTTTAAAAGAAATTAATAGGGTATTCTTACTGTCAGGTCCGTTTAAAAAGAATAAAATTAAATAAGAATCGACACTAATTAGAACTTAGAACGCGTTTGCTGTTAGCTTGACACGGTAATTGCTGATGTTTTTTTTTTATGTGAGGAGCTGGCAACTAGCGGTTCACTTGATGTTAGGTGATAACTACCACCCATGGACACCTGCAACACCCGTAGAGTTGCAGATATGTTGCCACCTTTTAATGAAGTGGGTCCCGGTTACCTCACTCACCAGACGAAACATAGAAGTACGACACTTCCACTTCACGCCGGTACTTACCCGGACGGACCTGCCCATTCGTGCAACAGTAAATACTGTTACGTAGCCCTGCCACAGTTAATATTTATTGTTATTTATTAATTTATCATTAAAATTTGAACATAAAAACATTTGTGTACAAATACTGCACATAAGGATTGAACAGTTTCAACATCTAAAGTATGTACATTATTTATTTTGGAGTTATGCTTCGTATGTGTATTGTTATACTCTTGGGAACAACGACAAGGGTCGATTTTTCGATGTCTAAAAGCGACATCAGCTTGTTTAAAGACACTAAGACACTTCCTCGATGTTGTCAACTTATATCTAAATACTTATACATTATTTATAACGTATATATTTATATATCGTGTTTGCATGTTTATTTATGTATAATTTATTAATATGTATTTATATTTTGTGTCTTATAAGTTTCTCTTATTAATTCAGTGTACACCGTTACCCGATGCTACTGTTCTTAGGTTGCCTGGAAGAAATCGCTTCTTAGCGACAAGGCCGCCTATTGTACAGTTTTGTATTATTTTTGATGATTCTTCAATATCCGTTGGTTGTGTACAATAAAGTATATTTCATTCATTCAATATCCGTTGGTTGTGTACAATAAAGTATATTTCATTCATTCATTCATTCACTAAGGAGGAACAGATGTCTGTTTCTCCTTAGTGACTTTATGGGGCAGTCCCGACGAACGCAGAAGCGTGGCCACCGCGCGGGCGTCGAGGCGCGCCGCTTGCATCGGGGCGCAGGGGCTTATCGCGCGCGGACACCCGCCGTATCTCGCGACGGGGGCAGAGCCATCTCCCGGGCCGCGCCGCCGACTCCCGATGGCCGGCGATTGCGATGCCGAGATGCCGCTGTGTATGAACGGGGCCCTCCCCCGTTTAAATTGTTAGGGAATACCCGAATATGACTTAGAACGGAGAATGGACTGGCGCTGCGGCGGTAACTCCCCTGGGAAAGCATCGATGAGTTTCCCGGTGGATCGGATTGCGTACAACGTTTACTGTGTTACATTCGTGTCCGAAGACCCGTAACAGGAACGCCACCTGTCACATGTATTCTTCTTTTTCTCCTGCCCTTATGCTCGCATTTAAATTGTTGGATGAATAAAAAACCCAATAAAAATGCAGTCTTATTGAAAACCTCGTCCTTTTTTGAAGTCGGTTGAAATAAAAGAAATATTTTTTGGACAATTTTCGGAAAAAATACAGTCAAAACCTTAGAAAAACGCATCGCACGTCACGTAGTCCACTTTATTCGTATAAGGACACTATGAACTATAAATGCGAATGGAATTGAAGAAAATATCCACAAATAGTGCTAACAGAAGTCCTTTTCGCGAGATAAGCATTCTCTACCGGCGTAATGCTCTGACCAAAGGCAGCGAGGTTGTTTTTATCGTGCCGCCACCAAAACAAAATGGCCGATGGCTCAAACAAAGGCAGCGAGTGGGCGTCAAAGATACCTTCACAACAACACGCTACGTCGAGCTGCTGTGCATGATGCAAGAGATATCTGTAGATATACGTATGAACACGTAGCCAGTCTCTACGTGGGTATATTGCGAAACTGTTGAGTTAGACAAGAGTCTACAGACCGACTTAATAACTAGATATTTATTTTGAATAGACAGATTGATTTGTAGACATTTGCAACTCCAAAACTGCTGTGCTGCTAATCTTAAGAGGATGGGTCTATGGTTACGACCCTCACTGGAATTGTCCTACGTATTGGTGAAAGCCTTAATGCCTTAACCTCACAGAAACCTTCCATCAGAAAACACAGAGGTGCGAGTAACACAGTTTAAAATGAAACTTTGAACGAAGCTTCTTGTCCTGTAATATCATCTATTCCACTTCGAAAAGGAATCGGTGGCATTTTCTCATTTCCCCTTCTCTTTCCAGATGCCGGCTCTTGCTTCATTCACGTTATTTAGAAAGGGACCACCCGGGTGTACTACGTAAAAAGCAAATTGACACTCGACCGAGCCGTTTTTAGGGCTCCGTGATAAAACGGGACCCTATTACTAAGACTCCACTGTCTGTCTGTCTGTCTGTTTTCCAGTCTGTCACTAGGCACGGAACAGATGTATCTCATGAACCGTGATAGTTAGACAGTTGAAATTTTCACTCATTACGTATTTCTGTTGCCGCTATAACAACACGACCGAATAAAAAATATTTAAGTGGGGCCCGTTTTGCCATTTTTGACCGTGCGAGTCCTACTCACACTTGGCCGGTTTTTGTTGCGACAGTGTAGTTCGCTGTTAGCCTTTGATAGCTTCGGCGTAAGAGAAGACATAGCCGTTTCGATTTAAGCGGCCTTGCAGCGAGAACATTCACTTGTAGCCGAAACAGGCATATCGAGTTGCCGGGGACGGCGTCTGGCGGGGCCCGATAACGCCCGCCCAGCACCAGCCCGCAGTCCCACGGCCCGCGATAAAGTGCACGTCGTAAAATGGAAACGCGCTCCGCGAACCAATTGGCGCGGATTGCGTTCGAGCGCCGATAGTACGGTCCCGCCGCCGCGTCTGCGTTTGAATTACGAACGCGTTAGTTTATGACGCTTAATCGATTTTTGTTTTTCTCTTTTCCGACGACTTCGAGCTCGCTGCATCACTGCAAGTGGATTAGACTGAACTCTCCTTATTTAAATACATTTTCGGTCAAAGATTAGGAATACTAAAAACTTCGGTCCAAATTAAATAGTAAAGATCCAGGCACAGACGTTGCGCTCTTTCATAAATATCAACCAAAAGAGCTAGTTATGTACTCAACTAAACACTCATCAATCATCATCATAATTTCAGCCTGTTGGAGTCCACTGCCGAATATACACCTCCCCCCAGACTGCCATGAAGCACGGTCCTAAACCAACCGCATCCATCGACTAACATAACAAACAACTAAACACTAACATAATAAAGTAGTAATAACGTTATTCAGTAAGTATATTGATATAGTAACGGTTTTATATTAAATTCCGTGTGCATATCTGTCGTAATGCAGTGCGCATTTCGGAAGTGGATGCAAAATCGCTTTATAAGTCTTCAGCGGTGCGGGCGGTGGGTCAAGTCGAAGGAACATGGCGATTATTACTTAAATATTTGACTAGTGTACTGCAATGGCATAAATATTGTTTTTTTTTTTAAATAAAACAGAAACATTAATCTTATAGAATAAATGGTAATATAAGTAATATAACATAAAAAACAATTAAAAGAAAAAAAAATTTCGCCCATTTTATAGCGTTTAATTTAACTTAAACTTTCGTCGTTTCGACTGGCTCGACGTTTGTAGCTTGCACCACAGGCAGTCGGTGGTGTGAAATATCGGGGGTGGGGGTGCGTTATCAGTGCCGTGCACATCGTATCTCGCTCCTCGCCTTGATAACGTACTCTTATAGCTCAGGGTATGTGCTACCTCACCCGATTAAAACCGGGTAGTTTGAAAAACTTTACTTACATTTTAACAGGACGCTGTGACACGAAACTAGTAATAAATACTTTCATATCTTACAAGCTATATATAACCCGCAGTTTCACTAACGTGGTTATTAGAAATGATAGTTAAATGATGAAATAAAAAGCGTTATGTGTTATTTGAACTTGTAAGTTATGTTATAACAGATAATAGACGTAAAGGATAGGACGCTATTGAGATTGCAGTCGGCAAGGATCGGGGAAAATGGAAATTCGTAATCCCAGTCTATCCAACTGGATAGCCAGATTGTTTGTTTTACACTATACCTTTGGTTTCTTCGTGATCATGTACTTAATTACTATTTGCTCAAATTACTTGGGACACGACATTCGAAATTCAAATCGCGAGGGCCGGGTAACGGAGACGTACTCGTTCGGAACGCGCTATTCGAATTTTGAAATTCGTACGGACGGCCGCGCATCACACCGTTGCAAGAAGTGAACACGGGGGCCGCGTCGCGATAAGCCCACAAGCGACGCGACTCCGCTGCGTCCACCGGCGAAATATCGCGCGAGCCCGCCCAATCGCGTCGCCGCATCGACGCTCGGCCACCCCGCGCGCGATACCGCGATATCCCGCCGCGTGTAACACTGACGCGTAAGCTGGGAGCTTTTTGCGGCGACGAATCCGCAGTTGACGTTCGCAGTTATTAAAAAAAATGAGAGCAACTGTTGAGTTTCTTGCCGGTTTCTTCTCAACAGAAACTGCTTTACGAAACGGTGGTAGTTTACTTACGAACGTATTAATTTTTATGTAAAATGTTGACGTTTCATAAGAACGCGCAAGCGTCTATGTGAATAATTATATTTTTGATTTTGATTTTGATTTTTGCAGTGGGTCAACATCGAACATGTTTAGCTCGGGAGGCTGTCATGCGTACACGTACGTGCTTCACTTTTTTTTTATGGAAAAGAAAGGCAACCGAGCAGGCGGGCCATCTGGTGGTTTTGTTCACTGCCGCTCATGACCAGAGGGTCACAAGTCGCTGCCGGCCTTTGAGGAAGGCAACGTTTGCTAGAGTTTGTCCCAACTAAAGGCCTTATTGTGCCCGTAGCCACACCTTAAAGTCGGGCGTGGAGCATTCGTGAGCCTGGAGAGTAATCTTGGTCAAAGACTTAAATATTTGATGTTGTACCTGTAAATCTATATTCAACAATCATTGCTTTCAATTAAATATAAAAATATATTTACCATCTATATTTTTTATTTGACAAATATATTTTTATATTTGACTCCTTGGTGTCGTTGTCTATTTGTTTATTGGCTTCGGCGTCGGATATAATAAGTACATAGACAAAACCGCTTATAACATGATTCACATGTTTTGTCTATACCACCTAGGTGGGATAAGGCCATGAGGATGATGATCTAAATTATTTTATATAAATCTTGGCATAATCGCTTTAAGCATCTCTTTATACTCGTAGGTATATGAAAACGGTAAATGGTTGTAGTTCTTTCTTCTTCTTTTATGTCATTAACTTGTTAATGTTAAACTGTTGCAGAATGTATTTCATTGTCTTTTCTTTGAAAATGAGAAAATTTCACCGAAAAAGTAATTAACCATTATCATACGTCAACAGTCATTTAATTTAATCTAATCTTGTACTATATCAATAATCAATTAGTTATCGAAGCACTATCAACATGTTTGCACTAGCTCGGCTACTGGTTATCGTTACTTAATCCCATGCTCAACGATGAAACAGTTTATCAGCGTGTTTAAATCAATTTAAGCATTATTTCAATTGTGTTTGGGACTTATTTATTTGAGCACGTAATGAACACAACTGAATTTTTTAAATTTAACTGTGGCGGGCCAACGCAACAGTTTTCCATGAATGGGCAGGTCCGTCCTGGTAAGTACCATGAACTCATAAAACCGGCAGAACTTCTGCGTTTCATCTGGTGAGTGAGGTAGCCGGGGCCCAATTTATTGTAAGGTAGCAACGTATCTGCAACCCTACGGGTGGTGTCAACATAAGGTGAACCGCCACCTCGTTTGCCATTGTTCCTCAGTTGCTCATATAAAAACTAGATCAGAAATCGTAATTTCTAGAAATTTTCACTTAGTGTCAATGCGTTGCGGTGTAAAGGCGGTCGTGGCATGCAAACTACGCGTGTCGAACATATCATACGGCCCGTATCACCAAGCAATAGGGTTTACAGTATCTCAAACGGGCGTCACAATTAATTTGTACGATTGGGACAGTGGCGCATTTGTCCGTCTTCCTAGAACAGAGGTCTCTCTGCACGACCTCGGACGCTGGGTCCGGAGAGTAAATACTAAAGCCTAAAACGAAATGCGTCAGCTTTGTCTGCGTCAATTAGAATGGAGGGCCCGTATTCCCGGTGCTCAGTGGTCCAGACTTCTGTAATATTCCTGCTATAGGATCCGCTTTATATGTAATTCTACATGGAAGTCAAAAACTGTTAAGTTAAGTCAAGTGACTTAAACTAGCAGTAAAAAACAGTCGGTTAAAATTTCAAAATGCTGAGCTGCTAACCTAATTTAGCGGAATAGGGCGTACAATATTTTTGGTTTGTTAAAGTTATTTTTCATTTGTTTTATATTTTAATTATGTATTTGTGTTCTTTTGCTTTACTGAATTATTTATAAGTATTTTTTTAATTTCTTTAATTTTTTTGTAAATTCTCGATTTTCTTTCTCTTTTATTGTGTGCGTCCTTTTTTTGGTGAATAAATGTATTTTCTTTCTTTCTTTCAAATTCTCTTCATGACAGTTAGTTAAAAAGTAATTGATGGTAAATTTTGTTCAAAAGTAATTGATATTTAAAAGCAATAAATATTATAACAGACGTCTCTACTTTACCTTTGTTTTAAAATAATAGAAAAAAAATCGCTTATTGTTGAACAGCGTCCGTCCAATAAAAATATTTAAGCAAATCGCGAAAATGTGCGTTGCTCCTTATCGGCGTATTGTAAACAATTCATGAATAATGCCGTCTTTAAAAGCATCTTATCTCGTTCGATATCGGCGATTTTTACTCTGTATATGTTAATATGTATACACTAATGGCATTGAGGTCTGCGGTCAGCCGTTCGGGTAACGGATTTGAGATCATGACACTGATATAAACTATCACGTCTCTGAAATATTATAGCGTGGACAGAGACTGTTACTGATACGTTATAAATAATTAAGAAAAGTACACCAGACACTAACGTTAAACGATGTGAATAAGATCTCTTTAGTAAATGTTTAGTTAAACATAATAAAAAAAGAATCATTTTGAATGTTAGCGTTATTTTTTCTTTTACTTTTTTTTCTTTCTTTCGCATTTATTTCGATATGATGATTCTTATTTATACAAAAATATATCACACTCGTCTATAACGTGATGACCAAACAAGAGAGACGTCAGAAAGATGTACGAACAATGTTCTTTTATTTTAGATATGTATACATTGTTGTAGTGAAATATTACTTAATAAAATCACCCTTAAGCCAAGCAAGCAAGGCTACAAATCAGCTGTGATTGCTGTCTGAATTGTGTTGTTATGAAGTTAACGCCGCATAGGATATCTACAACACACTTTGCCAGTATCCTTATAGTCGTCTTCGGCTACCTGGCCCACCACACGAATAGCGAAGGTACCAACACTTCCACACACAGTGGTTGTAAGACCAACAGTGGTCTAAGGCCAATAGTGGTATATCATGCCAAACAAAAAAAAGTTCGCGTGTTATGTGGCCGTGATACATCCCCGAGCAATCGAATTCGCTCAAAAACTGCCGCGTGTACATTACACATTTGCAAACTAAGCCCGTCACCGTCAACCGCAAATCTTAACGACGCCGCTTGCTTGAAAGCAAGAAACGAAACGAAACGAACCTATACATCTTCCTAACGAGACCCGCGATGTCGCGCCGACAAAAAGCCGCGACCAAGCGAGGGCCACGCCACGTGACGCGGGAAAAAGCGGGACGCGATTTATCGTACGCGCGACATAATGAGTTGCGGCCGCTCGGCGGTGTATCGCCGAAATCTCGCCGTGTGCGGCTATTGGCGGCGACACGGCGATCGCGCGATATCGCATGACGTACGGCCGCGATAGAGACGCGCGTCCCCACGCTGTTGTGACCACGCCTTTGGTGTTTCCGTGTACGGTTGAGACTCGTTCATGTCTGAAGTTTTTCTCTGGCTTATTTATATACTGCCATATTTGAAGAAGTTTAATGCTTGGGAGAGGCAATTGTATTTCAACATATCTTCCGCATCGTACAACTTGAAGATGGTAAAAATAATTGTTTTCACAATGTTATAACAAATTTTTACTTAGAGGCCTATAATTCAGTTGATATAGAGATATTTATTAATGATTAATGTTTGGCGTCGATTTAAACACGTCTGAAATTTTGTTTCTGTTGGGAAAAAAAAATACAGTTAATGAAAGTCTTTAAAACACAAAGATGTCATTAAATTAAACGATATTGGTAACGATTAGAAAAGGGTATTATAAAAATCATAAGTGATTTTTTAAGGTCAGGAGATATTATAAATAAATTTTAATTCTCAGTCTATCTTTTTTACCACGTTTTTACTTTTCGTATAACATTTTTCCTATGGGATACAGTGCAATTAAAGTTTTATTGTTCAGCAAAGATTAAAAATGTATTTTTACTGGCAATGATAATTATTGAGTTCCGACTTCCGTCTAATCCATTCGCGTTATAAGTCATTCACGAATTGAAACAAGAGTATATATGAGAAGAAAAAACCCGTGGTCACCCTATCGTATACGCGACAGCAACACGACGGACGCGAGGCAATATTTTAGAATCAATGTTTTTATGAATCGATAATTTGCTCGCGGTCCGTTCCGTTTCGGCGCGACGTCTCGCGGCCGATCGATCCTTATCGTGTTGTCACAACGCTTTGTTTCGTTTCGGACCCAGCGGCGGGCGTTTCTCGAAATGTGTTTCTTGCTAACGCGCCTGCAGATGCTATCTGGTGGGTGGCCGCGAATGCGCGCGCTGTGCAACGTACCGCCGTTCGATTCTGAGCCGTATTACTGGGGAATAACGCTGCACAGTCTGGCATTTCGAGCTGAGATCCTGGCTCTTTCCGTGTGTCCGCATGCATGCCGAGTCGTCCTACCTCAGGTGTGTTCGGCTGTTAATATTTTGATACTTTCTTGTCGCTGGCACAAGAATTCGCGTACCGTCGCGTCGTTTTACGTTCGCGGTCCTTTCACAGTGCTCGGCTTTTTGTCGCGTCGACATGTGGGAAGGGTATTCTCGCTATGCGCCGCGTCGGTCCGTCATCGACGCTTGAACAAGTGTGGAGTCGGCAGCTAATGGGGTATGATTGACTCGTTCACCGCACCGCTACCCGCTTTCATCGTTTACAATGGTGTGGGATTTTTACGTTATTGTTGTTCATTCCTCATTTGTGTAATTTTCGTTTTAGACGTTTGGCAACAACCGTGTCAGAGTTAATATAAGATAATTGGTGATTTCCGAAAACAAAATGAAAAATAAGTTTTTTAAAATTTTAAATGTACGCATCTGTTTCAGCTGATTTATCTTATAGATGAGAAACAGACATTTTAAACTCTGAACAAATTGTAGCGGTCCTATTGAGGAGTGCAAACCTATAGCTAAATATCTCAGTAAAATATTGTAATTATAGTCTTCAACCAGTAATCATTGACTCACGCAAATGAAACTAAGTACTATTTTAAACAAGTAGTCTGAATTACATACTAAAGCATACCTCGTGCTTAATCCTACAGTTGTAACAGTAGGATATAGTAGTACATTTTAATAATAGACCTTAGCTTTTTACTTTAACGAGTTTTAATGCTAGAAAATATATAGTCTCGGAACACATAAAAAGTTGCAATCTTAAATTTACAAAACATACTTAACAAGTAAAGGCATCGATTGCGAACGGTTGTTCCATATAACGGGCGTGTAATACGTTACCTCACTGCACGCCCTACGACGATGGACTAGGCTCGAGCCGTGGGCGCGCCCGTCCCAATAAATAAGTCCAGTCGTCGCATCTCGCGATACGACCGATACGCTCCAAGATTCGCGTTATTTATACGCGCCTAGATAGCGGACTCTAGCGACGCAATAAATAAAAACCGGGAGCGATCCTTATCGCGCCGATGCCGAAATTGGACGAAGCTGTCCGTCCTCTGGTGCTGAGGTTCCCAAACTGTTTCTGTTCGGAGCTCGATTATTCTGACAGACTAATTGAGTGCACGAGTAATTCAATAGGGGAAACCATTGTTCCTTGAGGTACCCCCTGCTGAGTTTTGTTACAGCCCTTGTGTACACTTTGCGAAACACTGATCTAGAGTGTTGGCAGCTTAACAAATCGCGCCAGACGCACGCGATTTGCGCTATCAATTGAACGCAAGATGGTGTCATTTTATCTTGAACTTGTTGTATGCTCGAGTACTATTTGATTGTAAGTGTAGACATAATGGCCCGTCGAGTGCGACAAAAACTCAATATGCCATACTTCGAATACCTCGGATTGTTTGTTTTGATACTATTTTGAGTTCTCTAAAATCATTAATTAGAAAACATACTTCCGTTTGGCTACAAAAACATTTGCATTTTTTACATTATAACGAGGTTTTATTTTATGCATTAACAAACCTGAGTGCTGTTATCTGATAGGACTGGTAGGCAATTTTAGATACTAAAATTCTTTAATTTTACTTATAATACGTGCTTGACTCGGGAATTAAATAGATGGTTAATAAAAGGACTGATTTATAATTTTATCGTTCGTAGAGCCACGCAACAGTCTTCGCTGTTGGACGAACGAGCAGGCCTGTCCGGGCAAGCACCACGACCCCACCGAAAACCGGCGTGAAGTGGAAGTGTTATACTTCAGCGTTTCGTCTGGTGAGTGACGTAGCCGGGGCCAACTTTATTTAAAGGTGGCAACGCATTTGCGACCCTATGGGTGTTGCGGATGTCCATGGGCGGCGGTTATCACTTAACATCAGGTGAACCACCGGCTCACTTGCCATCTTCTAACATAAAAAAATTTAAGCCGATAAAGTATTGTTGTGTTGTAAAATAAAAGAAGACTCGAAAGCTTGATTATTATCTAGCCAAGTTATACCCTGTGCGATTCCTGTACTGAGACATTTATAACGCTGAAAAAGCGATTCAGCATCCTCTCCCTAAACCATCACGGTTAGAGGTGTGAAGACCGGGAAACATGGACCTAGATATTTTTATAGGTCATGTGCAGAACAGAGCAAAGTTCCTTATTCAACACATACCGAATTGTTAAGGTCTGACGGTAATTTTTTTAATAACTCAGTTCATCCCGCCATACCCTACACGGTTTTGAATATATGTTTAGATTGCACGACATGTGCGTTCTATGTTTAAACTTTTAAAGTGCCTATAAAACACACATGCCCGTTAAGATATTAACCTGGCGTTCCTAAACGTCTGTCCCGACGAGAACCAATAATAAAGGCAACGTAAAAATATCGAAAGTATATCGAGATGGGGCGATACGCCCGGGGTGCGTTTCTGCCGGATATTGTAAATTTATCACCGACGGATCAACTTCGCGGTCTGCCGATCACCCGCCCTTTGGACGACAGCCCCAGTAATAACTCAGGTTTAAGTGATGTGCCTCGATGAAGTATCGATATATTTTATAACAACCCTACGTCCTATACTATATATAGGTGTACTAGTCCTTCTTTATAAGCTTCACGAATTAAAATACCCTTCAAGTTTAAATAGATCCCGCTGATACTGTTACACAACCACGGAACGCGCAATCGCAACACAAACCGAACGTTCGACAAATGATTGCGGAGCGCACAGATAAAAAATGCAACTCCGCAACGTTGCCATAACATAATGCCGCAGATTAAAAACTTTTTATCGGACGTCAAAGGGGCGAGCGGCACAGACATCGGCTGGCTAACGTTTAACAACGTCACGAAGATTAATGCCGGCCGATATGTCATCCGCGACGGCGCGAGGTGTGCGAAGTTCGGGCGATAAACTTTTTAAAGACTCAAGTTGGCGCAGCCGGCTAGGTATATCGGCCTGAAAAATTGTGTACCGAGGGCCGCCTGCCCTGCGGCGGCGTGATAAAGCCGGGGGCGAAAAAAGATCGCGGGCGTTCGTTAAAGTAGACTAGATATTTGTCACGGGGCCGATGCCAACTTAGTTCGCCCTTTGGTGCGCGGGTTTTTTTTTCGGCTGGCAACTTCCACGAAGTTTCGCGAGTTGGGGCCTCGTTTAACGAACTTAACATCGTATACATGATAATGAAGCGTTCCACAATCGTGATACTTAAAGCGAATAATTATATATTATTATCCATAATAATACTTTACTTTTATCACAATAACTCATTAGTTCACAAACGATCCTTTGTTTCTAAAATATTGCTTTTAAATAATAATACTAGCTTTGCGCACGCGGCTTCACTCGCGTTGAATCGTTGACCTTAAATAAATATCTTTCAATCCATTACAAAACTTTTTCCAATTACAAAATAGTCTATGTCCTTTCTCAGGCTCGACTATCTGTGTACCAAATTTCATTTAAATCGGTTCAGTAGTTTTGGAGTGAAAGCGAGACAGACAGACAAGGTTACTTCGCACTTATAAGATTAGTATGGATTTAATATTCAAATTGAGTCACATATCTACACAATTATCTGTATAAGTTATTCTAAGTTGTTGTTACGAAAAATTAGAACAGGATTTTCTTATAAATATTCTTGAGATAACGCTTAATTAGTTAATATTTCAAGATATGTCTTCGAAAAAAGGATTTCAGAAAAGATTATTATTTGATATATTTAAGATATCGAAATAAATAGTTCATACAAAAGTTTGGAATGAATGATATCAGTCGTTTATTGATGACGAATCTTAATTAATAATTTTTTATATTTATGATTTTTGTAAGAATATGTTGTACATGCTACAATATTTAAGATTTATTTTAGTTTATGTTTTCTTCTATAGATTGACACAAGCCTTAGCTTGCATTTTAGCTAAATGTTCCTTTGATATTCGAATCGAATTCGAATAAATCGAATCAAACCATGCCACATCTCAAATAAGCTGTGAAATTTTGCTGTAATCAATTGCATTCTTCAATTTTATTGTTCACGATTATAATTTTTTCGTATGATATTTTAAGCAACAACCCGGCTGTTGTTTTGACACAGTATTTAAAACTCGTTTGAAAACACAACAACAATTGTATAAACGACGAAAAACCTTGCGCTTTCATTTGTTCACAATAATTAAACTTTTCAGTAAAAAAGTAAAGTAACAGCCTATACATCTCCCACTGCTGGGCAAAGGCCTCCTCTATACAGATGGTATCAGGGCATAGTCCACCACGCGGCCCCACTGCGGATTGGCGGTTTTCACATATCTTCGAAGTATTTTTTTTGTTAATATTTCGAAAATATGCAGGTTTCCTCACGATGTTTTCCTTCACCGCGGAGCACGTGATAAGTCAGCACTTAAAGTTAAAAACTTCATTTGTGCCGGCACCGGTGATCGAACTCAGGTTGCTCGAGTATACTGAATTAAAGGCGAGCGCCCGGACACTGAGCTATCACGGCTCTTTTTTAACTTTTCAGTATACGCAATTAATTATGTATGCGTTAACAATCACTAGGAAATGTGTTTAACTTAATAAAAACCTCTTTATTAAAAGACTTTCAAGTGTTAACCGAGTTTCAAGGCTCGCGGGAATTATCACCGCAATTATTGGAGAAGCTGCTTCAACAGTAAATTAACTAAAGCTAATTACATTATTATTAATCCACAAAGAACTGCGATAAGTGTACAAAAAATAGTATGACATTCTGTTTATTTTTTTTCTTGCATTATTTTATTCAGTGAATCCTTTTAGATAATGGTTGGTGTCACAATTAGCGATACGAAAAGAGCGAGTGTGGCAAACAGGGAGGGGGGCAAATATCGAGTGATCTAGTTGGTGCCATGTGGGTGTCCCCAAGATACCTTACGCAGATAGTATTATATATAGTAGATATACCAAACCATATAAACGACAAATTACACAGTGTCGTTCAGTCTCACCGAGTCATTTAATACCACAGTAACTAATTAGTTTGTAGATCCATGAGGAGATTGGAGTGCATTTTATGAAAAAAAGAGCTATGCATAATCACCGCTCTTACAGCGGCGTGTGTCTCGCGGCGAAATGGCTGTATTAAACTTTTTCCCTTTGTTATTTTTTTTTTATTCTGTGCCCCGGAGTTTCGAGTGACTGCGCAGATAAATTGTCGCGCGATAAGTCACCCGACGCTAAACGAGGTTAATGCATTAAGCGAAGTTTGAGCGCGGCCCGCGTTAAAAACTTGCCGGTGCCTGCGGGCCCTTGTGTGTAGCCCTGGAGTACGCGGTTTCCCGTGTGACGGGAGGTTTTTGTGTGGAATCCGTTTTAAGGCGCAGGGCCAGATTAAGCGGAAACGAGAGTGGAGCTAGATGTTGACTGGTGGAAGAGCGTCTACTCAGTCAGGTTTCTGTAGCCAATCGGCGTCAAATGTCTGCGAAACTCAATGTAACAGGCAAAGAAAAAATGAAAACGTAATTAAATAATCTAGTCAAAGTTCAAGAAATTCGTCCTCTTGTAGAGTAAGAGATCACTGTTCAAAATTCAAGAGAAACGCGACTGAATTTAAATACATGTTTAGAAGCGTAGAACACGATAACCTTAGTAACGTAAAAATGTATACTGTGAGATATTTAGGGAGTAACAATTACATTCAAACGTTCGTTTCTTTCGTGGCAATGAAATGAAGCGGTAAGCACTCGTATGTAAAGCCCGCCACGGACGGGCGGGCTATAAATCGCGCGACGTCGCCCCGGTATCGCGGCGTCATTAGCGACGAAAGTAATTGTGCTGATTTGTCTCCGGGTTAGCAGTGGGAAGCTCTACCCGCGCACATATACGTTTCCCCGATAAGCGCGATTTTTTTGAGATCGATCCTGGAAAACCTTGTGATCTAAAACTGAGACTGAAATGCTGCAACTGTTCAGTTCCTAGCTGGTGATGACCGATGGGAAAGAAAGAGTCTCAATGGGCCATCATGTAGGATCCCCACACCAGACAGAGTGACAGTCAGTCAAGTGGGCGGAAAGCCGATGGATGCAGGTGGCACTGGCGTTATGTGGAGGAGGTCTAGGAGTGCACTTAAACAGGCTGAAATGATAATGCCGATAAACAGGTAATGAACGAGAGGCAATTAATTTTGGCTTACATGACAAATAGAGATTTTTGCACGCCATTGGTAATCGAACTTGTAACTTAATTATGTTCATTTAACGTGATAGAGTCGAATATAGTCTTCTGCTGCTCCACGAATGGCGTAGCCTCACAGAAGACCGGTATGTAGTAGTATCATTTGTACTTTTGCAGTGAAATAATGAGTAGTCGTTCACTTATCACCAGTTTGGCAACTTTACAGCATCTACACGGGTAGAGAAGACATCCATCGACTGGCTTGTTTGAGTGACACCGTTTCTTAATAAAAAATAATTTCTTTGAGCCTATTATGTTGCTTTTTTTACTGGGAAAACTCATCGTACCCAATTATTGACTGGCCTCGTTAATAATACTATTCAAGAAACAATTATAACACTCCTTTTCGAAATGAATGGAGCATAAATAAAATAAAATAAAATAATATTTACAAAAAAATCCAATCCAATTAGGAGATTACAAGTATGTTCACGGGCGGTTATAATTCTCACGCATATTAGCGGGAAATGGCGCGAAAAATGAAATATGATGTATGTATTCTGTATACGGAGCTAATGTTTCCGCTAATTCATCTTATTGGATGTGTCGATACAGACGTAACGACTCGGCGCATTACTTACGTGCCTCGTGCGCAGATAGCAGTAACGGTTGGACTTACCTGCGAATGAATAACGAGCGTTATTAAGACGTTTATTGGACACGTTATCTGGAATACGAGCAAATTTTGGGGCGTTAGACGCGTTCCTTTCTTACCAATGTCTGTTTAACTTCGAAGTTCAGTAATGTAGTTGAAATAAATAGCAAACGATGCTTAAATACAATTGCAAAAATTTGTATCTACCATTAAGTTAAACATATTTGCATTTCAATGTTCTGTATGTATTTAGTTGGTAAGCCTTAATAAATAAAATAAAATAAAAATATTGTTTTTCGATCAAAGTTAACAATCCGTTGAAACACAACCGAAAAATAAAAACCGTTTATTTCATTATTGCGACAAGCTTCATTTTACATAAGACGATTGATCGGATACTGTCTGATGAAGTTAAGCCATTTGAAATTTGTAGCCGTCGATGATAAAAGCCACGTGCGGTGCAATGTTGTTATGTTACATAATGTACGGGAAATACTTAATCGAAGCGTAACCACTTCAGCGCAGCGCGGGAGTGGTCCGTCGCACGCGTCACCACTACACGTTTCCTTCTCGATTCGAGGACACTAAATTCCTGTTGTCACGTGCAAATAATTTTAACTATAACAAAAAAACTTCGATTGTAATCATTATGTGTGTTTATATATTAAGTGACGACCCGAATGGTCTAGTGGGTAGTGTACCTGCTTCCTGCGCCAGAGGTTGTGGGCTCGATCCCCACTACTGGAAAAATATTGTGTGATGAGAATAGTGTTTTTCTAGTGTCTGGGTGTTTATGTATGTATAATATGTATTTATTTACAAAAGAAAAGTATTTTTAAGTATGTATCAGTTATTTAGTACCCATAGTACAAGCGTTGCTTAGTTTGAGACTAGAGAAAAAAACTCCCAGTATGGTAAACACTAATAAATAAAATTATTCAACCTTTCGATCTGTTCTCATCAATTTTTTTAATCAACAATACCGGAATAGAATTGAAAGAACGCCGATTCGTTTACTCAGTTAAGAATTTCGATCGAAACGGGAGATATTGACAAATTCGGGCATTCGGAATAATTCGGGCGTTTACTGCCGATTGGTAGTAGATCAAGACGGTGGCTTTAACGTTGTCTAACGGGAGTAGATCCACGCGATAGTGTTGTGAAATATGAGCGAGTGGTGTTTCCCATTCGAGTATCGATTTTTTGGATCGATTACGATGAAGTATTCGGGTGGGCGCGCGACGGCGGGCGCTCTAACAAAATGGCCGTCACAAATTGGTCATTAGAAAGCCACTTAGCGGGCGTGCCTATCGCATTCCCTCGATTAGAAAAAGGATTAGGACTCTCCATCGGAACTATGTATTATTAAGCAGTGTCTTTTTAAAGCGGACGCAGAGACATATTTTTATAGATAACTTTGGTGGTCTAATTTGAACTATTTAAATTCTTAACGAAAACATTGTCAATTACATCCATACAAATACAATCGAACAAGCTAAAAATATATGGACTATTTTAATAATGTTTAATTCTGTGTTAATTATTACGTACATCCAAAAAGACACTAGGGTCTCGATAGTAATTCAATATGCAAGGGCAACACAATCCTAAACTGTCAATTGAAATAGTAAAAAAAATCAAAGCCAGATCTAATCGGGGACACCGACAGGGTTTTATTATCTGTGTAGATAGTATAACAGATCGTTTGCATGTAAATGACGGCATTAAGGTGCCAACAAATCGTTTTGGGATGAACTTGATGATATTAATACCTGTACAACTATTGCGCTGTAATTTAAATGTTTAATGGACGAATAACACTTTGATCAGAATAAATGTACACAGCAAGATCTAAAGTGTGTGATATTTGTGTTTGTTTTTTAAACAGTGTAAAATATATTAAACTTATTTATCAAAGTATTTATGGTTTTTATAAGAAATAATACATTTTATCTTTTGTAAACATAACACAATGTACTTGTCGTGTACACAGAGGCAAAACACATTTATTATCAAATATCGCTATCGATCGATTAGTTCATTACATTTTTATTACATGTAATAACTATCAATAGATTACAAGACATGCATTTGTAATTAATAACGATAACGTACGTTATCTTTGGCATCACAATAATGACAGTGTAATCTTTAAACATGGCGGCATTGCGTCGCCATTTTGAAATATTATGCGTCAATTCATTACATAAACGAAAATATTTACCTTTGTAATGATTTTTTAACCCTTAGCTTCCACACTTTACAAGTTAACATGTTTCAATCACACAGATACAATATTTAATAAAATAGTACGTTTTCATTTGCCGACAAGCGAAATAGTTTTTATACAAAGTGAGTTGTTTGGAAATTTTATATTAAAAAACAGCCAGGTTATATCCGGCCCACACAAATATATTTTGTTTGATAAACTTCATATCATTTAAAGTCGGGTTTAACAAAGATGAAGTCGAATGGAATAATCATTAAACTGGTAAATCTGTCCCACTACCGTGCTATAAATATTTTCAAACGTTACGAATTACATAATACACTAAGATGAGATTAGATTTCATTATAATTGGCGGTGATATCCTATTGGTTTGGGGTTCAGACTTAGAAAGAGCTGAGACCGTATGTTCGTACATGGAGTTCAGTTGGTGTGCACCGGTGAATTCTCCGTTTTATGGAGCTCCTACCACGTTTGATGTAACAGCCTCAATGGCGAACTAGCTTCTCTTTCATCATTTTATATCAGTGCATACAACTTTTTTATAATCATCAGACACCTTCTTACAACAAAAACATACCAAATCGCGACGGGGCCGTGGTGACACGATCGAAATACCGAGGTTTAGACTAGCTAAAACCAGGATTCACCTTCCAATCGTTTCTTGGTAGAAGTACTAACTTATGTAATATAATAGGTGACATCCACAAACAATTAAGTGTAAATAATTTCAAATATTTTGTATAAGCTACCGGATTATGGAAAGGGCCTATTATAATGTCGAGGAATACATTGAGGACAAGGATGTGTGGAAATGAATCTTGCTCTGCACTTGCAAGTTCCCTGGCTCCTGCTAAATTTATACTTATATAAATCAAAGAAAAAAAATTGTGACCGCAGAGCGGTGGTAGTTTTTGACGATCGATAAGAGCTTAAAATAATGTTGAATAAAGTTTTAACTTTGACTTTGAGTGCAACACAGCCGAAGCAGTCTATACGGGGCGAGGCTTAACCGTGCGCTGGTATCCGTTGAAAACAAGCGGCGGCCGCTGCCGACGGGCGATAAGCGCACGATAGCGGAGGAATCGGCCTTATCGCCGGCTGCCGCGCGAAAATCGGAAAAATGCTCGCTGCGGGTGTTACGCGCCAACTCGTGCGGCGAACGTTTGTGGCGAACGTTCGCGTCAAACGTTCGCGACCAACGTTTGCGAACGAACTGAAGATGCCGATGCATTTTATTGCTAAAAAACTCTTTTAGGCAAAATTTGTGCGTGTTGTTGATTTGTAAGGTCGAAACGTCTGAATTTTAGCCCGGAAATTTAATTCATTCGTGCATTTAAACATGCGTAGCTTTAAAGGAATCTTTATAGTGAGCAGGTCCTGTATCAGTTTTTTTTAAATATTTCAGTATTGTTGTTATTGCATGAACAAACGTATTGTATGTTGTACAACAAAGTTAGCGCGGAAAGTGCGCCAAACGTTTGATCAAACATTTGAGAATTCGACGAAGATAACGGCCCGCACGGGAGCTATCGGTCGCTACTGAAACTATTTTACGTTTCAGATAAAAAGCATATTGTTTGTAAAATACTTCATCGTTTATTGTGTTTTATTTAAATGGTGTAGTAAACTAATATAAGTACTAACGAACACACAAATATGATAGACGAATCTTGTAGATTTTTATTTGCACCGAGACGTGTGTGATAGTTTTCAGCAAGATATCGATTTCGATATGATGGGAGTTTCATTCAATTAATTAGTTTTATTTATTTAAATAACATTAAAATTACTTTTTAACATCTACCCAAACGGTGGATTTTAAATGAAAAAAGAAAGGATTTTAAAACGTTTATAACTTCACTACGTTTCGAATATATCGCATCGTCGGGAATTAAAATTTGAATAAAACGTGACATATTGCGTTGAATTTTGTTACAAATGTCAGTTTAAGTATTAAGGAGCGTGTATGCGAGTATATAGGACAGAATGAGAAAGTGCGTATGAAATAACACTTTTCTTTAGTAACGTCCAGTTCGCATCACAAACTACATTGAATAAAACTGCTTGGGCAAATTTGGATGTGCATCTTTTTATAACATAAGTAACTAATAAGCCTTTCTGTAATATTTGAATAGTCTAAGTAATAGAATTGTAATTGTTTATTGTTTAGTGCGAACTGTGCACAATTTCATAAATTGATTTTCCCTTATCACTGTAAATTACGACTTTCAGATAAGACGCGCAGGCGTTTGAAAACTTGTACCGTGGGCACGTATAAAATACTTGTTTAAAATGCATGTTCATCCTCATTTCCATAATGTATCTGAGTTTTTGTCTTATATGTTCAAACTGAAAACTTTCAATGTATTATATAAACTAGTGGTCGCCTAGTGGTCGAAATTGGCCCATAATTATTTATACATGGTAGAGTGTGCAATGTTTTCTTTTATTGATTAAATGTGTTTTTTATGCATTAGAAAAAAAATAATATTATGCACTCCTTCTATAGATAAACGATAAGTGTGGGTAATTTTATACTCCTCCATCCGCGCAATTTTCGTATAAAGGGGTACAAAGTTTTTGCGTCACGTATTATATATAGATTACGTATTATATATTGATTAGACTTAAAATGCTACAATAACGCACAGAAGAAAGGCTAGGAATTAAACCCTGTTTTGCATAACCGTCATAACATTCTTTAGGTATAGTCCTGATGGTTTTTTAAACGATCACTTCAATAAAAAGAAATTTTAGGAAAGACATCTATTTATCTAATACCTTTAAACGAGAAATCCTTGTATATATTATACAATCGGAATCTCGGAAACGGCTCTAGCGATTCTCATGAAATTTAGTATGTGCGTAGATTCGGAGGCGAAAAATCGATCTAGCTAGATTTCATTTTTAGAAAATGTCCTTTTATCCCTGTTTTCAGGGAATAAAAAATATCATTCGGCGGTAAATCAATATGACGGTAAATTTCACCGAAATAAAAAATGTTATAATAGGTCGGTCGGTAATCGGGCGGCCCCAAACAGAAGGCCGCGGTTCGTGTCATGATCATTTACATACTTATTTTTTTTACTTTTTTCTACTTGGTCCTCCAGGTACTAATAATTTAGTGGCTTTGTTGTATTGTTAAAGCTGGCTAAAACGAACACAAATTAACGTAAAAAGTATATTCGTCTCTGGAGATAATCGTGGAATATTAAAACTTAGGATTTAATGATCAAACAATATCCCGCAAACCGGTATGCCGAGTTGTAATATTGTTCAAATGCATTTTTATCTAGTGTTCAACAATCATTCCGTATGGTAGTTCATGATGCGTTGGTAGTTAGAGCTCTCACAAGTCTGTTCAGTCTTCCCTTGAAGGCACCAGTTGCGATCGGATCGAAATACGGCAATTCAATGTTTTCTTGACGTACATAAAAACTACTTAGACGTACCCCAAAGTAACACGCATGTCGCATTCACGTACCACAGACTACAAACGTCGTCGCGACACCGGAAACCGGCGCACAGTCAGCAGCCAACCGAGCACTGCCAACCGATGCAACCGCTCCGCACTCGCCGCGTTATCGGTGAAAAAAAAAAAAACCGATAACTTTTAATCAGGCGCGATTTTTACGATTGACCGTTATCTGTGGACACGGCGGATTACACGCGATAGCGATCGGAACATTGTGTACAAGCGAAACGTAATACACTATTTACTTATCGTCGAAAAGTGACGTACGCACTGTAATATAGATTTCGACAATTTCTCTATCTAAGACTTTCGTTTTTACACGAACTCCTATAGTTCTACAAAGTGAAATATGTACAAATCGAGGCCTACTATATCAATTTCCGTAGTTAAGAAACCAGTGCAATTTGCTAGTGAATACTCCGGCTGAGTTTTATCAATCAGGGCGTCGTACAAAGCGCACGTTACTAACGGTTCTCGATAGAAAGCCCACTCGTTCGAGAATCATCGGCAATCCCAATAATTGTTCGTTAACCCCCCCGGGCTGAGGTTGCGATCGGGCGCCGGAGGCAGATTAGCCGCGCTCAGCCTCTCGAAGCCTGCTCGATTCCACTCCGCAAGATGCTATCGGCTTGCTCTTTCCACGCCACCGCTGCCCTGGCCGAGTGGTTATTGATAGGGGACGAGTGGCAGAAATCTTCGGGCTCCTCGAGGGGGCAGCTTTTTGCTGTAATGACGTTTCTATGTCCTAGTGGCTTTTGTGGCAGATGTAGATATGGTCTTTTGTGAGTCGAGACGTTCGCTAATAATGTTGCCACTTCTGTGGCCGTTTGATTTTTTATTTCGGTTTGGTTTGTGCTTTTTTTTTGATTCTACTAAAAAAACGAATAGAAAATTACTTGGCAGTTTTGCCTGTATTTAAGGAGATATGTTTTTAAACAGTAATATTCTATAACAACTGACATTAATAACTTTCTTTTCCGGAGCATTAGAAATGTGTTACCTATAGAACTATCAACGTACAAAGTATACGCTCTGATAAAATGTAAACCGAAATAATCTTGCACTCCACCCTTAAAGTGTATAGAAACACTTTAGCCGTTTATCCCCGTGCCCCAGGGTGGTGTTCCGCCTCGAGCCCGTGCAATCGTCTCCCCGGTGCCGCAATCTCTGCATTATCTATGCGACTGCAAGGCTACAAGCAGTTGACAAAGTGCACTACGTGATATTGCAGCCATTACTCCCGGTGATTCATATCGGCGCCCCCGAACACCCCCCCGACACCCCAGCCGGCTTTCTCGCAGATAACGGTCCGCACGTTGTCCAGATACACCTATTAAGGATGCAACAGCGCTCCGGGCGCACATAAATAACGCTCAGTCGCAGCGTCGTTAACACCCGAACTCACGACGGACGCCCGGTCGAACGGATCGAATCGAAAAACAAAAACGAACGTCAATTTGACAGCCCGAGAGCGCGCGAAACTAACGCCGCACAGAATATAAAAAGGCGCGAGCAAATTGCAAAAACGATCGCTCGGATCGCGGCATCACATCACGCGAACAGATCGGACTCTCATTGTCCTCGTATCGTGGCATTCCACCCGCCTTGTTTTTAACAGAGACGCCCAATTTGCTCGGGAGGAGTTTTTATCTTTTGTGCCCTTTTTTCGGGCGCGCGGCCGCATAGTCGATATGACAGCTCTCGGTGCTGCCGACCGGTATCGGGGAACGGCGAAAAACGAGAAACGAATAATCGAGCAATCGAGTAAAAACAAGGAGCGGGCAGCGGGTATCGGCCCACCGGGCCGTGACAATTGCATCTGTTGCGCAACTTTTTTTTATCGTCACTAGCCGGCCAGTCTACTGGTGTGGCTACTATCATGGCCGATACAGACGCCGTGTTGGACTATTGCACCGCCCATTTCTATTGTTTTTTTTGTCTTCAGTATGCGGACAAGTTTTCAATTAATATATATATATTAATCCACTGTTTCCTATTACGGTGCGTTTTGCTTGTAATAAAAATAACAAGTTAGTTCAATGATATAAGCAAATCAGGAAATATTATTGCGAATTCGTTGGTATTTTTACCGTATCGACGAGTTACCGACCGTACGTCATTTGGATACAAAATTTTGTTAAACCCTTTACTTTTTATATCGGAAACATTATTCAATTACTTAGCAGGCTCTTGCGTGAAATCAATTTGGAATTTATTCAAGGACCTAAAACTTTTGGAAGTAACGTATGTTTTTGTGTGAGTAGTAGTCACACGAGCAACCAGGCCATCTGATGTTAAGTGATTACCGAAGCCCATGGACATCTCCAACACGTGTAAAGCTGCAGAGGTGTTGCCAAACTTTTAAAAATTTGTGCTCTGGCACCCCACTCGCCGGGCGAAACGCAATAGTCGTTCATAATAATTGCACTTAACGACGGTGATCTGTGAGGTCTAAAACCTGACAATAATGCATTCATATTTATTTTTAAAGAAGCCTATCGAAGTATTAATTAAGCATTCATAGTTATAACTATACCGTTTCAAAATAACGGATACTGAACGTTACAAAATACGTTTCAAAATACGGAATGGATGCACGTGATAAGTTCCCGTGTCTTCGCTCACGGATATTCTCAGATGCGGTCGCAGCCGGACAATAGTGTTGTCCTTTCGATTTTCTTATTTTTAACGTGCACGTGGACCGAGGAGGCGGGCGTTGGGCGCGCCCGTGCGGAAAAAAGATAGTGATGGCCGCCACACGCCACGACGCATACGACATGCCCGCCATTCGAAGAAAACCTTATACAATTTACATTTCGAAAATGGTCAATGAAATATTTTTTTAACTCTCGTTGATGTTTCAAACGTTTAAAATGTCACGATATTTATTTTTGACCCGTGAATATTATAAGCATAAAGTCTAATCTTCTTTTTCGTGTTCCAGACACGAAAAAAAAAATAGTCTGGACGCAAATAAGAAAAGTTCAGCTGGATAATATAAGTATATATCTCACTATTCGCTCCTTAAGCTACAAAAATAACTTTTTGAGTTAGGGGAAACGTGTACTCATAAATATTTTTCTTAAATAAAATATATCACTCAATCGTGAAGTTTTATACGCAGTTAGGCGTGCGTCTACTGAATAACTTTAATACATCAAAAACAGAGTAAACGAAAACAGGCTCTGTCAAAAGTTCAATTGAAATCCATCAAAGTTCAATTCCACTCAGGCAGCCAATTTGCGAAAAACTCCCGCTAACGTCAACCGTCAATCAGCTTACTTTGTCACTTTTAGAACAAAAAAAGCCACCGCATCCAAACGGAGGAAGCAATCGGGACGCCGATTTGACGTTTGCAACAAAAGCGCGGGAAACGACAGCGCGGGAAACGCGACGGCCGCGGGATGGATTCGAAAATTAAAACCGCATGCCAGAAGCGTTGGTGCCGCTGACGGCTGTCGGGCAAACGCCATGTTGCCAGCTCGATTTCAGGCTTGTTCTAAATATGTCATCACTTCTTTGTTATCGAGCGACGTGCGCGCGGAAATGAAAGTCCATCGAGTAGACGCTCCATTATCGACGTATCGTTTATTATATACATACGTTTCACGTCGCTGGATATGAGTTTTCAGCAAATTAACTGTCAACGCTCGTTTGGCTTAGTTTGATTTTATCAGTCGAAAAACTGATGAATTCCTCTATTCGTTATGAAGCGTATTCAATTGACTTTGCATTTTATTACGTAGGTATCTTATAAGATTCTCATTTGGCTCTTCTGGATTTGTCTATGGCGTCTAAATGTCAATTGCGAACACCACAGGTTATAGGTGCCGCGTTCGGAAACGGCGCGAACGTGTCATAAAGGTGTCGAGCGGGAAAAATCCAATCCGCAGCGTGCGGAGGCGATGCGATAATTCGTTCGGATGCGAAGGAAACTTACGTGAGTGACGTATCAAGGGGCGGCAGGCGGGCCGAGATATCCTCCCGTTCACCTGAAGAGGCGCCTCGTCAGCCGCTAAGCCCCTCGCCCCTCGCCCCCTCCCCGCGTGGTTAAAAAGTTTTCGACTGCTGCGTACGATACCGCCGACTCGACTGTGGTTACGTGTCATCTCTCCCCGTAAAACAGTTCACGTGACATTAACTAGCTGTGACATTTCACGTTTCGTGCCTGAAAATTCTACAGCTACCCACAACGGCGAGGCAGGTTCAAGCTGCAGTTAGTATTCAAAATTCTTCATCATTTTTAAATAAGTTAAGGTACAAAAGCTCGCCGTTTGCTTGTCATCGCATCCGATGGGGTTTTATTTTTTGGTCTAAATATATTTTACCTTCATAAGAACGCAATTCATATAGAGCTTGAGATAGTTTCAGTGTTTTCACTGTAAACATCTACTTGCTATCATCATGTATTAGGAATAACTCGGTGGCACCGTTGGTAAGCTATAGGCTTCGGCGTCCGGGGTAGTGATTTCGATTCCTACACGGGACAAGTATTTGTGTGACCCAAAGATAATTGTTCCGGATCTGGGCGTTTGTTTCCCAAGGAGGGTCAACGTCAGGCAGGCCGTGCAAAACATAGCCAAAACCGCGCACAACATGAGACATGTTTTGCCGACCCTACCAAGGTGGGATAAGGGCAGGAGGATGATGATATATTAAGCATTGCAGATTTTTATCTATGATACCTCGATAATGTACACAATGTATGGATATGGTTCATACGAGTACGTGCTACGAAAGCTGCGCATAAATTAATAAATTCAATATGAACTTCACCAAGTTCAGATCTGAAATATGCAGTGAAAATTCAATTGCTTTTTGTTATACATAAGAGTTTATTTCTTTATCCTCTTTCTAAGGTAGAGTCATTAAACCTTACCGGCTGACATTTGTAGAGTTTAATATGAGTGGTAAAGGAATGACGAAGTAATCAGCTCGCAATGGGTGGCAACTCGTGTGTAGAATCTCAGGTGTTTTGATTGTACACAGATTGCTTAGTACTCTTACTCATTTGCCGGTTTTGCAAACTCTAGCCACTAACGTCGTGGTGTGGAGTTAAAAGGAATCGCGATAACGTATTAATTCGATGGCCGCTGCATTAATATGGCCCAGCACCTTGCAGGTGATAGCGCAGGGATCCCTTGATAAAATCATTACCGGCGCCCTCGCAACGATGTTCGCTAGATAACCAAAGGCTACGGTATTCTCACGAGGCGACGTGCGAATTATAGATGTTGTACAATCGCTATAGGATATATCCACAGATAATATCTGGGATCGAATTTCATTTGTATTTCTTATCCACTATCCCTCTACTAGACAGTGATAGCCTAATGCTATCGCAAACATTTAGACAGATATCTTGTATCTTGTATTAACTGATGTTTTTGCTTTCAGTCCTGAGACTATTAAAGCTTCATCTGACGCAGAACCGGTGGGCTAGCCAGAACCCACGGGTTTGGGTTTTAGACAGATAGTAGCAGCTAACTTGAAGCGAACTTGTTGGAGAAGTCATTTTTACTTTAAAAGTCAGCATATTTATAAAATTCAATCTCGCTGCTATTTCAAATCTATGGGCGGCGGTGATAACTCGGGTGACTGATTCGATCATTTTATCACCCTTTCTCTTTTATTACTGAAATTTGACAGTTCGTGCATTCCATTAACCCGTATAGTTTTATATCCTTCCGCAGATGGTGGAGAAAAAAGGCGCGATGATTTAATTTTTTTTTATTTAAGACGTTGAACGTTTAATCAAACTTCCACATTATTTTTATTAAATTATCGTCTCTTGTGGACTTCAGCTCGCACAATATCGCATTCGAATTAATTAATTAGAAAATTTAAAATTAATTAATTAAAGAAATTAAGAAAAATTAGAAATTTGTATGAAACTTTCCTCAACCCAAAACTCGATCAGATTCCATCTAATCTTGATTAGATGGCGTGAACTCACTGTCCACTACTTTTTGTAAATCACTGTCCACCACTTTTTGTAATTATATTGTACTTTTATAATGTACCATATGTACTTTTGTATTATTGATTTTTGGTACGATATTCTCTCCTCTCAGATGCTAGTTCCCTATTCAATATGCGAAAGTTGAGATAAAATATGCATACAGCTTTACATCCTTATAACACAGCAAAAACTGAACTAACTTTTAATCGTTTGAAGTTATTTAAAGTAATCGAAAATGATACTTGTTATTAACGTAGTCTAATAACGTAACGTTTCATTTTATATTTGATGATTATCATGAGAAATAATGGTCACACTTGTCTTATTCGAGAAATGTATCTCAGAGCACCAGTGCAGAGATCACTTAAATAATACGCCAACCGTGTCAGCTACTTACCTGTAAAAAAGGAAACAAGGTTATAGTGCATTATCTGAAACACGAAATAGATATTGAATCAAGAAAATAAAAAGAGCCGCGAAAACAAAACTCTCAAACTGTCTTGTATGGAAGACTGTTACCATTTTTAAGGTTGAAAAAGCCTAGATAATATAGACAAAATAAAAATATCTCAAGCGCTTTACGCTTAAGCAAAACGCTTAAGGATACGCTTAAATTAAACAATATGTCTCAAATAACCATATTTTTATTTAAATGTGGGTTGGTCGGTGTTTATTACCTAGTTTAAAATTCAGCACCTTAATTATTTATACTTACTATAAATAATTAAGGTGCTCAATTTTCACTAAAAATAAATGGTTTACTTTTGTTGAAATAATTGCTTTTGAAAAGTCCCATAGGTTATAAGCGTTAAATATGCAAGCAACCGTTCGATCGCTGCAATAAATATAACTACAAAGTTTGTGAACAGAAACAGCAATGAATCATAAACAAAACAATGTGATTATCCTCTCGCATTCTGCTATTTGTGGTTAGTGCAAAGTAAGAGAGGCTAGCGAAAAATAGTGGCGATAAAACACTGATAAGTTAAAGATTTAATACATCGTAAAAAAACGACAGATATATACCACATTTACAACTAATCTTACTTTTCATCTCATCTATTCTGATCAACTATCTTACATTTATTACATATTATATCTAATATATAAAATTCTCGCGTCACGGTGTTTGTAATTGAACTCCCCTGAAACGGCTCAACCTATTTTCGTGAAATTATGTGTGCATATCGGGCAGGTTGGAGAATAGGACAAAATCTATTTTTCATCCCCCTAAATGTTAAGGATGGTCCACCCCAAACATTTTTTTTACCCTACAAATAATTTATATGGCAAAACAACGTTTGCCGGGTCAGCTAGTTATTATATGTAAATTTTTTTAAGTTTTTCGTCCCTTGTTGCACCTACGATAAGCTCTCACTACATCCTGGGTCGACTAGTAGAGAATGCCTTTGGTCATTAAGAGCGCCCTTTGTTACCTCTTTTAATAGATTACAAATAAAGCGTAAATAAAACAAAATACCAAAGACTAACTACACAGTAAGTACAGTCAGCTAAACTTTTGCACACGCGACCGCTTATCGCTTGCGCCACACTGAGAGTTCGACAAGAGGCAAGCGCAGGAAATGAAGCGGGCCCCGGCGGGGGCGATACCAGCGCCGCGGACAAAGAAGTTGGCGTTTCTTGAGACTTTATTAACTCGGCGACTGTGACAAATTAGTTGCACCTACCAGCTCGGCTCAGCTTTAATGGAATACGAGGCTCACGGCCGGTTTCTGAAACACTGATCATCGTAGATGTCAACTAATCAGCTGTCAAATGGTTTTCAAATTTCATTTTAGTTGCCAAAAGGATGATTAAACTATTTGGATTGATCGTTCTGATCATTAGAAGATCATTCTGGTCAATTCAGAGAGTTTCACCGTCCTTTTGGCAACTAAAATGAAATTTGAAAAGCTATTTGACGGCTGATTAGTTGACATCTACGATGATCAGTGTTTCGGAAACCGGGCGTCAGGCTCTTTAATCTTTTAAAGTGAAGATAATGAAGGAATCGATCGTCCATAATATTCCACACGTCTGCAAACCCTCAGATGTTGAAGATAACCACGGCAGGTGGTAATCGCTTAACATCAGGGGAATCCCCTGATCACTTGCCAACTTTTTATGTGCAAAAGTCCGTAATGTTACCGTAAATGAGTCTCGCGATAGCTTCTGCTGCCAGAGCGAGCTCTACCGGTGAAGTTACTCAGCCGAAAGGTACCTGTAGGGCCGCACGTGCAACAGTCTCCGCTGTTGCACGTCCGTCCGGGTAAGTACCACGAGCTCGCAGAAGACCGGCGAAAGATAGAAGTGTTACGCTTCTGCGTTTCGTCTGGTGAGTGAGGTAGCCGGGGCCCACTTTGAAGGTGGGCAACGCATTTGCAACCTTTCGGGTGCTGCAAATGTCCATGGGCGTTATCACTTAACATCAGGTGAACCTCCAGCCAGGTTGCAACTTTTTCACATAAAAAAAGTAGACTAGTGCGCATTCGGCGATTTCCACTTCCACGACGGCGAACTCTTACACGATTCCGATTCTTTGTAATAAAAAATAAGTGACTTATCGTCCATGATTCTTATGCGTTAGAAGATCTGTATTATCGTGATTCAAAGCAGTGTTAAAAATTTCTAATTTTTAACCGACTCCAAAAAAGGAGGAGGTTTCTCAATTCGACCGTATATATATATATATACAGCGTGTCGTTACCACCGCGACAATAAATGAAGACACGTCTATCGCTACTTGCCAATAATCATAAAAAAATATTAACGTTAAACAAAATCCATAATTAAAAATATAAATATTTTTCTAACAAACTAATTAAGTAAAAAAGAAACAAAATTTGTAACATCCTATACAACTCGCGCACAGCGTCGTATTACAAGCCTCTCCTTCTAACAGTATGTTTTGTCTCTTTTAAATTCATTGAACCCATTCATATGCTTTATGACCTTTACAAATGAACTTTACGTTACGTTTTTATAGTTAAGGGTGTTCTAAAATTCTTTGTTTTGGAAAATTTTATAACTCTGTAAATATTGATGTTTAAAGAATTTAAAAGTTTAATACAACTTTAAAAAGTTATCCC